AGGTTTTCTTCTAGTATTTTATAGTTTCAGATTTTCTATTTTAGTCTTTAATCTATCTTGAGTTGAATTTTGTGTATGGTGAGAGATTTGGGTCCAGTTTCATTCTTCTGCATATGGCTATCCAATTTTCCCAGCACCATTTATTGAAGATAGTGTCCTTTCCTTAATGTATATTCTGGTCAGCTTTATCAAAGATCTGTTGGCTGTGTATATATGTAGCTTTATTTCTGGTTCCTCTACTCTGTTCCATCCATGTATCTATTTTCATACCATTATCATGCTGTTTTGGTTACTTTATTCTTGTAATATAATCTGAAGTCAGGCAGTGTAATGCCTTCAGTTTTGCTCTTCTTGCTCAGGATTGTTTTGATTCTTTTGAGGTTCCTTATAAATTTTAGGATTTTTTTTTCAATTATTTGACAAATGCTATAGGTATTTTGATAGGGATTGCACTGAATATGCAGATTGCTTTAGTCAGTATGGTCATTTTAATGATATTAATTCTTATGATCCATGAGCATGGGATGTTTATTCATTTGTTTGTGTCATCTTCAATTTCTTTTATCAGTGTTTCGTAGTTTTCCTTGTGGAGCTCTTTCATCTCCTTGGCTTTTATTCCCAGGTATTTTATTTATTTATTTTTTACAATGTAGCTATTATAAGTAGGATTTCCTTCTTGATTTCTTTCTTAGCTAGATCATTATTAACGTATAGCGACACTACTTGTGCATTGATTTTATGTCCTGCAACTTTACTGATTTCATTTATCAAATCTGAGTTTTTTGGTGAAGTCTTTAGGTTTTTCTAAATGTGAGATTAAATTATCAGCAAACAGTTAATTGACTTCCTCTTTTCCAATATAGATGCCTTTTATTTCTTTCTCTTGCCTGACTGCTCTGGTTAGGATTTTTAGTTCTATGTTGAATAGAGGTCGTAACTTGTTGCTGTTCTTTGGGAGATTGCTTTCAACTTTTCTCCATTCAGTATGATGTTAGCTGTGAGTTTGTTGCATAAGGCCTTCATTATTTTGAGGTATGTTCCTTCTATGACAACTTTGTTGAGGGTTTTTACCGTAAAGAGATTCTGAATTTTATCAAATGCTTTTTCTGCATCTATTGAGATGATCATATGGTTTTTATTTTTCATTGTTGATGTAATATATCACCATTTATTGATTTGCATAATTTGAACCATTCTTGCACCCCTGGCATTAAAAAACTCATTTGATCATGGTGTATTATCTTTTTGATGTGCTGTTGGATTTGGTTTGCTGATATTTTGTTGAGGATTTTTGAGTCTATCTTTATAAGAGATATAGGTCTGTAATTTTATTCTTGTTGGGTCTTTGATTGATTCTGGTATCAGGGTGATACTGGTCCTATAGAATTAGTTAGGGAGAATTCTTTCCTCCTCTTTTTTTTTTAAATAGTTTTGGAAGGATTGGTATTAGTTCTTTTCTGTATATTTGATAACATTTGGCTATGGGTCCATCTGATCCTAGGCTTTTCTTTGTGGGGAGATTTTTATTACTGAATCGATCTCACTACTTGTTACTGGTCTGTTCCAGTTTTCTATTTCTTTCTGGTTCAATCTTGGTAGGTTTTATATTTCCAGGAATATATCCATTTCCCCTAAATTTTCTAGTTTGTGAGCATATAATTGTCATAATAGTCTCTGATGACCTTTTGCATTTTTGTGGTATCATTTATAACATTTTTTTTTCCATTTTTTATTGTGAGTCTTCTCTCATCTTTTCTTAGGTAGTATAGCTAGCCATTTATCAATTTCATTTATCTTTTCAAAGAATCAGCCTTTTGTTTTGTTGATCCTTTGTATTATTTTTTAGTCTCTATTTCATTTAGTTTGGCTCTGTCCTTTGTTTTTGATTTTCTTTTGCAACTTTTGGTTTTGGTTAGTTCTTGCTTTTCTAGTTCCTTAATTTGTAATATTTCTACATTTTTGATGTAGGCATTTATTGTCATCAAATTTCCTCTTAGCACTGTTTTTGCTGTATACCATGGGTTTGGGTATATTATGTTTCTATTTTTATTTGCCTCAGAATTATTTTTATTTTTTTTTGGTCTTCTTTTTTGACCCAATGGTCATTTAGAAGCATGTTTTTAAAATTTCTGTGTATTTGTGTAGTTTCCAAGGTTCCTCATAGTCTCGATTTCTAGTTTTATTCCACTGTAGTCTGATAGGATACTTAATATGATTTCAAATGTGTTGAGATTTATTTTGTGGCCTAACATATGGTATATCTTGCAGAATGTTCCAAGTTCTGATGAAAATAATTATATTCTGTTAATGTTGGGTAGAATGTTCTGTAAATGTCTGCTAGGTCCATTTGCTTTAATTTAAAGTTCAGTTTAAGTCCAGAGTTTCTTTATTGATTTTATGTCTATGTGACCTATCTAATGCTGTGAATGGGTTGCTAAAATTCCCCATTATTATTGAACTGAAGTCTATCCCTGTCTTTAGGTCTAGTAATATTTGTTTTATGAGTCTGGGTGTGCCAATGTTGGGTACATATATATTTAGAATTGTTTCTTATTAAATTGATTAATTTATCATTGTATAATGACTTTTTTTTTACTGTTTTTTTACTTAAAGTCTCTTTTATCTAATATAAGTATAGCTATTTCTGCTTCCTTTTGGTTTCCTTTTTGCATGGAATATCTTTTTCTGCCCCTTTAAGTCTTTATGTATATTTACAGGTAAGATGAGTTTCATGTAAGCAGCATATAGTTGGAACATTTTTTAAAAATGCATTCATCTAGTCTATATCTTTTAGGTGGGACATTTAATCGGCTTATGTTAAGGTTATTGATATGTGGGGTTTTGTTCCAGTCATGTTGTTAAATGTTTTATGCTTATTTTATAAATTGTCTGTTTCTTTTTCTCTGTTTGTCATTATACATTTGTAGAATTCTATAGTGGTGCCATTTGATTCATTTCTCTTCCTCCTTGGTGTGATTTCTTTAACAGTGAGTTTTATACTTTTGTGTGTTTGCATGATCTTAAATATCATCTTTTCTCTTCCTCGAGCATTTCTTGTAGGGTCAGCCTAGTGATGATGAATTCCCTCAGCATTTGCTTGTCTGGGAAATAATGTTATTTCTCCTTCATTTGTGAAGGCTAATCTTGCTGAATATAGAGTTCTTGGATGACAGTTTTTTTCTTTCAGCACTTTGAATATATCATCCCATTCTTTCCTACCCTATAATATTTCTGCTGAGAAGTCTGCTGCTAGTTTGATGGGGTTTCTTTAAAAGTGACTAGATAGCCGGGCTCGGTGGCTCAGTCTGTAATCCCATGCTTTGGGAGGCTGAGGTGAGTGGATAGCCTGAGCCTGTGGGTTCGAGACCCACCTGGGCAACTTGGTGAGACCTCATCTCTACAATAAAAAAAAAATCAGCTGGGCATGGTAGCGCGTGCCTGTAATTACAGCTACTCTGAAGGCTTAGGAGGAAGGATCGCCAGAGCCCAGTGGGTCAAGGCTGCAGTGGCCAGGAGCGGCCACTACACTCCAGTCTGGGCGACAGAGTGAGACTCCAACTAAAAAAAAAAAAAAGTGATTAGATGCTTTTCTCTTGTTTTTGGAATCTACTCTTTCACTCTGACTTTAGATGGTTTGATTTTAATGTGCCATGGTGAAGAACTTTTTTTGTATGATTTTAATTATTTTGGGATCACTATACCTCCTGTATCTGGATGTCAAAATCTCTTGCAAAATTTGAGAAGTTTTCATATAATATTCTGTTAAATAGATTTTCTAAACCTTTAATCTCTATTCACTCTTGGGAATATTGATAATTTGAATTTTTGGCAGTTTTATGTTGTCTCAGACGTCTCAAAGGTTTTATTTGTTCTTTTTCTTTCTTTTTTATTTTTTTCTGACTGGATTATTTAAAAAGACCTGTATTCAAGTTCTGAACTTTTTTCTTCTGCTTGGGCTAGCCTATTGTTAAAGCTTTTGAATATATTTTTTATTTCTGTTAATGAAGTATTTATTTCCAAAGTTTATGTTTGGACTTAAAAAAAAATCAACTTCCTTGTTAAATTTTTCATTCATATCTTGAATTGCTTTTCTTCATTCTTTGTATTGGTTTTCAGATTTCTTTTGCATCTCACTGAGTTCTTTTAAAATTAATATTTTGAATTCCTTATCTGGGATTTCTAGAATTTCTTTTTGGTTAAGATCTACAGCTAGATAATTATTGTGTTCCTTTAGGGGTGTCTTATTTCTTTGATCTTTATGTTTTCTATGAGACTTTGAGTTTCTATCAAGTTCCCAACTGATGTCAACAATGCTGTACTAAAGAGACTTTCTCAACCAGCATTCCTCATCTGAACCACAGAACAGAGAATTTTTTGAGTGGCTATTTTCTCAAATCTTCCAAGAATGATATATAATCAGAACCATGCTAGATACAAAGTATGACACTGAATCCTTATGTGCATCTTGCCTTTGGTTTAGGGGCTATTATTATTATTTTGTGGAACCTTGGTCGAGAAAGGCTATCTTTTAGAAAGTTGCTCAAGAGAAAGATAGAATTAGCTTTATAGGAAAACTTTATACTATTACCATATTTAATTCTAATCAGTTTTTTGTAATATGTCAATGTAATGAAATAATTGGACTAATAGTGTTTTCGTTTATGAAATATAATTTATTAATTCAACAAGTACTTGCTGAGTATCTGCTATTGCTAAGCATTGTGCTGCTCAATAAAATTTGAATGCTAATTGATGAAATAATTACTCTATAACTTTCAAGCACCTTCTTTCTGTTGATCATCTTTACGCTTAAGCTAAATATGTGTACATGGTTCAGGGATGTTAGAAAAATATTATTATAAAAAAAGCACAAGTAAGAAGACTTAATAATTATTTGTGATGCCTCACACAATTTTTACAATTCTAGGGAGATCCTAACAATCTATGTCTCATAGACAGGGAAACAAAGTAGTGAATCTGTCAACATCAAAGGACCATACCTTGAATGCATGGTTGTTGTAGAAGCGATCATCTACCTTAGCCCCCCATTCTGCTGGATCAAAGTTGGTTTCTAAATAATAAAAATATAACAATTTCAGACTTTACATTTCATGTTTCAAATCACAGGTTCTTTTCTTGACAGTTGAAAATTTTATTGACATTGTACATAGCTTAGCACTGCAGACATACCAGTATCATTAAATATATGATGACCAATTAATCATTAGATGAGCCCTTGGGGATAATTAGAAAAGCACTGAAAACATAATTTCTGCCTTCATAGATTTTATAATAAGATAAAATAGAGAACACATGCCACTACTCAAATATAAGTATAGATACTTATAAACTCAGAAAAATGCACATAAATAAATGCTAAGTAGTCAGGGAGTCTGAAAAAGTAAAACACGGAAGACATTTTTAAAAAATGAAACATATTGGGCTGGGCTTGGTGGCTCAGTCTGTAATCCCAGCACTTTGGGGGGCCGAGGTGGTTGGACTGCCTGAACCCAGGGGTTCGAGACCCACCCAGGCAAATTGGCAAGACCTCGTCTCAACAATAAATCAAAAATTAGCTGGGTGTGGTAGTGCGCGCCTGTAGTTCCAGCTACTTGGAAGGAGGAAGAATCTCCAGAGCCCAGCAGGTCGAGGCTGCGGTGGCCAGGAGTATGTCACTGCACTCCAGTCTGGGTGACAGTGATACTCCAACTCAAAAAAAAAAAAATGAAGCATATTATATAGACAGTTGACACAGACAAGGAAAGGTAGCTACATTTAAACATAATTTTTCTTTAGCTTTATATTATGAAACATTTCGAACTTTAAAAATAGAGAGACCAACATAACAAACCCCCAAGTGTATATTACTTAGATTCAATTATCAACTCATGATTTATCTTATTTTATTTATAACACTTTCTTCTGATTATTTTCTGCCTTTTCTTCTGATTATTTCCAAATCAGTCCCAGGCATCCTATTATTTTATCTACAAATATTTATTTTGGTATGCATCTCAGTACATCAAGACTCGAAAAACCACAACACGGCCAGGCTCAGAGGCTCAGCCTGTAATCCCAGCACTTTGGGAGGCCGAGGTGAGTGGATTGCCTGAACCCGCGGGTTCGAGACCTGCCTGGGTAAATTGGTGAGACCTCATTTCTACAGTAAATCAAAAACTAGCCGGGCGTGGTAGCGCGGGCCTGTAGTTCTAGCTACTTGGAAGGCTGAGGCGGAAGGATCGCCAGAGCCCAGCAGGTCGAGGTCTCCAGTTAGGTGACAGAATGAGACTCCAACTCAAAAAAACAAAAAACAAAAAAACCCACAACACCATTATCACACCTAAAAATACTAACAATAATTCCTCATATCATAAATTATCCAGTCAACTATCATAATTTCCTCCGTTGTCTAATTTATTTAATTGTGAGTTCAAACCAGGACACTCCAAAATGGGCATACGAGCACCTTATTGTATCTTTTAAATATTTATTAATGGAAAATCTCCCACCCCTTCATTTTTTCCTTGCAATTTATTTGTTGATGAAATTGTGTCATTTTCCTTTGGAGTTTTCCACAGTTTAGATAATTCTGCCTCTATCCCCATGGTAGCTTTTAACAAGTTCCTCTGCCTTTGAATTTCCTGTTGCTCTGTAGTTAGGTATAAAGGTTTGATTCTTTTTTGGAAAGTATACTCAATTGGTTCTGCTGTGTTCTGTCAGGAAATTTGTAATATCTAATTGTCTCTCTTTTTATAATTTTCATGGGCTCCTTGATGATCACTGCTTAGATAATTTCTTTAGGGATTGCAAAATGATAGTGCTCTAATTTAATCACCAACTACTTTTTTATTCTCTAGAATACTTATTAAAGAAAAAACTTTTCCTCATCAACTGTTTGGTTATACTGAAGTATAGTTCTTATAGAAAAGGAAGGTTAAATGTTTGATTCTTTCCCTTTATCAGTTTTTATAAAAATCAGAGTTTTTTTAGAATCCTTTCAAGGTGACCAATGATCGTTTTTTTTAACCACAATGAATTCATGAATATTCAACAAGTTGGATGAACTCCAGTCCTTTGCATTTATTATTCTTATTGATGCTCTAATTGTTCAAAATTTGACCAGTGGGAGCTTATCAAGTGCTTAGACGCTCCTGAGTCCTTTGGAAAACGCCTCTAGGAATTTTTGATAGCCTCCTTGTTTTCTGGTATGGCGAAATGTTTAGCCTCATCTTGCATATTTCCTGCCCTGCTCACGGAACTAGCTAGTTCTCCAAGAAGTCCTGGTTGCTGAGACGGACCTAGAGATGACAGCTAGGGGCTAGGTGTTCACTGGTACTAGATTGGTCATAGTTTTGAGGTTTTTTAAATGTACAGAGCTAGAAAATACTTCTTTTATTTTTAAAAGAGAAAACATATTATGAGTTCACATTGATTTTTTTAACACAAATTTAGAATTACTGGATTTTATTAGCCTCTTTCATTTTCATAATTGAATGTCATTTTTCCTATACTAAAAATCTTATTCTTAATAACACTAGCATAGTTACTTGATTTGTTCTATAACATATAAAATACTTTCAGAATAACTATAATACTATTAAGTGACTTTTGAAAGTAGTTTAAGATTTTTTGAAGTTCATTTTGTTTTTAGGATATATGCACCAGGGATGTACACATTTCTGTGCTTTAGAATCACTTGAAATAATTCCTTTCTGTGTGTTTATGCTACCCCAGTCAATACTAGTCAGGTTTATTTGTTTCACTTTGCTTTTAAATTTTAGAAATTGCTTAACAATTTTTAAATTTAATTTTTTTTTTTTGAGTTGGAGTCTCACTCTGTTGCCCAGACTGGAGTGCAGTGGCCGCTCCCGGGCACCACAGCCTCGACCTGCTGGGCTCCGGCGATCCTTCTGCCTCAGCCTTCCGAGTAGCTGGAATTACAGGTAAGCGCTACCACACCCGGCTATTAAATTTAATTTTATCACTGTTAAAATTTTATGATTCAGGCCAGGCTCGGTGGCTCAGTCTGTAATCTCAGCGCTTTGAGAGGCCGAGGTAAGTGGATTGCCTGAGCCCACGGGTTCAAGATCTGCCTGGGCAGCTTGGTGAGACCTCATCGCTACAATAAATCAAAACAATTAGCCGGGCGTGGTAGCGTGCGCCTGTAGTTCCAGCTATTTGGAAGGCTGAGGCGGAAGAATCGCCGGAGTCCAGCAGGTCCGGGCTGCGGTGGAGCGGAAGTGGCCACTGCACTCCGGTCTGGGGGACAGAGTGAGACTCCAACTCAAAATAAAATAAAATACAATAAATAAATAAATAAATAAATAAATAATAAATTTTATGATTCCACATTCAAGATATTTTCTATCCTGTTCTCTCTACCCTGTTCCTTCTCTCCTAAAGGTAGTTGTTACTTTTTGTTAAAAAAGTATTCTTTCATTAAAAATATAAATGAACAGCTATGTATTTATATCAACTCCTTTGTTAGATAAATGAGAGCATATTAAGCACACTTGTTCTCACCTTGTTTTTTTCACTGACTGTATCCTGAAAATCCATAGCATCATCTAAATATCTTTCTAATCTCTTAAAACAGCTATATATTATTCCATTGTGTGATGTGGTCTAGTTTATTTAACCTCCTATTATGGATATTTGGGTTGTTTCCATAAATAACAATACAATGAAAAAGGAGATATGGAACTTCTGGATCAAGGGTTATGTATATAAAATTTTGGCAGGTATGGCCAAGTTTCCCTCCTTTGGGTTGTACCATTTTGCATGCCCACCAGCAATGTATATAAATGCTTACTGCCCTCACAGCTTTGCCCAGAGTATGTTGGCAAACTTTTGGCTTTTCTGCCAATATAACAGAAGGGTTGTTGTTGTTAGGTCAGTGTAGTTTTAATTTGGAGTCCTGTTGTGATATGTTAGTTTGAGTATATTTTCATGTTAAGGGTCATCTGCATTTATTTTTTGCCTTTTTTTTCTATAGGGTTTTGTAAGCTTATAACATATTCTTTTTAAAAAAAGAAATTCTTTACTTATTAGGGTGATAACGCATTAGGATATAAACTGCAATTTTTTTCTGTTTGTCATTTGTAGTTTTTGTTTTCCTTATACTGCTTTTTGTCAAGTAAAGTTTACTTTTATGGTACAATTTTATGAATCTTTTTTCTAATTGCTTCTGAATTTTGATTTAGCTAACAATTTAGCTAGTAAAATTTGTTCTTCTCTTACATTATAGAGATATTCATCCATATTTTCTTCTAGTATCTGCATGGCTTATTTAAAAAAATATTTAAATACCTAAGTTGGAATTTATCCTGGTGTGATATAAGAAATTGATCTAATTTTATCTTTTTCCAATCTACCTCAACATCATTTAATAAAAGGTCCACTTTTTTCCTAATGATTTGAGATACCACTCATATTGTATATTAACATGTTTCCAGCCACAAAAATAAAAATTAAGACTAGTAATCACCTATGAGGAATAAGAAAATCCATGCATTGTGTGGGGTACTGGGCTACCAGTCCATAAGTTTTTTTTTTTTTTTGATTCGAAGTCTCACTCTGTCGCCCAGACTGAAGTGCCGTGGCCGCTCCCGGCCACCGCAGCCTGGACCTGCTGGGGCTCCAGTGATCCTTCTGCCTCAGCCTTCCGAGGAGCTGGAACTACAGGAACGCGCTACCACGCCCGGCTAATTTTTTAATTTATTGTAGAGATGAGGTCTCCCCAAGTTGCCCAGGCTCAAGGCAATTCACTCACCTCGGCCTCCCAAAGCGCGGGATTACAGGCTGAGCCACCGAGCCCGGCTTCATAAATATTTTTTGTATGTGTGTGTGCCTTTTTAGAGAGACTGAATTCTTTTTTTTTTTTTGAGTTGGATTCTCACTCTGTTGCCCAGACTGGAGTGCAGTGGCATGCTCCAGGCCACTGCAGCCTCGACCTGCTGGGCTCCAGCGATCCTTCCCCCTCAGCCTTCCTAGTAGCTGGAACTACAGGCGCGCGCGCTACCACGCCCGGCTACGTTTTCTGATTTATTGTAGAGATGAGGTCTCGCCCAGTTGCCCAGGCGGGTCTGGAACCGCGGGCTCAGGCAATTCACTCACCTCGGCCTCCCAAAGCGTGGGATTACAGGGTGAACCACCAAGCCCGGCTGAGAGACTGAATTCTGATACTTGCTTCAGTTGGGTGGAGGTTGGTGCAGTGCTTAAAATTTTTTCAAATGGTTTTATCCATTACTTATTCGTTAGAGACCATTAATCTGAATCATTTGCTTTAATTGCTGTGACCTGGTAACAATGACTCAAATGTTTTTATAATGGGATGTTTCTGAGTTCTAAAATTAAATAAATGACTGAAGACTTTTTATTGTATGAATTTATAAAATTAATATTATAAGAACAAACGTAATATTTATTACAATTCACTTCTTTCCCCAAGAGATTTCTCTTAATAACTTCCCCCCATATATCGTTTAGCAAATGTTTTCAGTGAAAAACATTTAAAGTTTCAGGTTGTGTAACAAATATTCATACTGACTGGATATGGAAAAGACCAGCAAAAAGTCAGGAAACTGGCAGAGACTTAGAGCTCTATGAAGGCAGGGCAAAAAAGGCAAGGGTGTGGAGCTGTGCAGTGTGTATGGGAGTTGTTCTAATTAAATCTCATGCTACGTTTCCTCCCTCTGTTAAACGAGTTACGATGGAAGTTTGCTTTTTTGTGCCTATTTCTAGTTATCATTACTACTCTGTTGGAATATCATCGTCAAAAGTAATGATGACAATAGTTTATACAAAATGATGGTTCTGGTGAAGAATAGAGGTTTTTTTTTGGGGGGGGGGCGTGGCAGGGAGACAGGAACTTGCTGTGCTGCCGAGGATGGAATGCAGTGGCTATTCACAAGTGTGATCATAGTTTGATTACAGCCTTGAACTCCTGGGCTCAAATGATCCATCTGCCTTAGTCTCCCGTGTAGCTACTACTTTTAGGTTTGTACCACCTTGCCCAGTTACGAATAGGTTTTCACTATAAGCTTATACCTGTAATAGTTTTGATAACTGGGTTAGGTCCTGATAGTTAAGAACCTTCAAGGCTGGGGATTTGGAAATTTTATTTATAGAAGCAATGAAACTTTGCTTTGGCTCTCAACCAAAGAGTTATTGTTAGCGAGCATGTTGGTCTGTGCAGGATGGAACTTGGAGAATATAAAGAACATAAACTACCTTTCCAAGCTGGCAGTCCACTTTTCAAAGCAGTTTGTCTCTGTGTCTTTATTGCATAACAGTTTCATATATTCCAGTGAATGCCAATTTATTTAATCTAAGGACTGTAGAATTCTTTTTTACAACTTAAAATTTTTCCAAATGAGAGAAGAATCAAAATTTAAAGAAAACCACAAACTCTTCTCTCAGAAAGAATAGACAGTCAATGGCCAGGGATACCAAGGAGCAGTCTGCTGGAAAATGAAGAGAGTAGACTACATGATCTCCCCACCGGCTGATTTCTCTTGAGAAATGTGTGATCTTCTGTAAGTTCCCTTTCTTCCTCCCTGTGTGTCCATAAGAAATACAATGAAGAAGGTCTGGATAATAAACTGGTCATCTTCAATAATGTGAAACTAATTTAAAAGAACCCGTCAATGACTCACATATTGTTTAGGAGTAAGAACTGTTATTTGAAGCTACCTGCCTCATAAAGTCTTTCTGCAGAATGGAGACGGTCTTAAGCACGTTTTACAATATCTAAAAGCTTAGTCTATTATTTTTAAAAATGATTTCTTTAAAAAAGCTTACTATCTCTTTTCTCTAGGAGGTTTTCAAAATATGCTGCGGCAAAAGCTGGTATATTTTCTGGTTGCTCCCTCAGAATCTCACGTGTCAGTCCTTCAAGAAGATTCCCAAATCCTTGTGGAATTCGGTAATGGGTGCTGGAGAATGGAATCGACATCTTGGAAAGAACTGCATATGGTACCTAGATATTCATTAAAGAGTACTGTCCTTAAATTTGTCTGATTTTACTTTTATAATCAATTATGACAACAAATTATTTCTGAAACCCAAATTTTCTGGACTTCAATTCTTTTTTCCCCAACACAACCCAGATCCATTAATTTCTTCCAAAGAGTTTTGCATTAGAATATTACTCATTCAATAGACCAAATCATTTTTAAAAATTACCAAAATATCGCAATTTTTCAGTATGATTTTTCTCTCTGATCCTGTATCTTTCTGTCCTTAAAAGGTAAGGGTAATTTTTGCTATCTCACAGGAATTTAGAGAGAATGATTATTAAAAAGCTAGTCTAATCCAACTCATTATCAATTGTTGAGAAGACCCTCTTAAAAGTCTAAATTAGAAAAAAATTAAAAGGTAGATATGAGTTCTGGTTCTGGAAATTAATTTGTTGAATGGAGTTTCATACTTAATCTTTCCCTTAGCCGCCATTTCTGAAGCATGACCCATAATGACTCGAACACCTTTGTACTGTGGAATGGGGTTGGGGGGGGGAGGGGCAGGTCATTGTTTTGAAATCCCAGTCTCTTAAGTGTTGGGAATTCTTTTTTTTTTTTCTGGGCAGAAAATATAAGAATGAAAAGAATTCCCAGGGACCTGGTCTGTGTGTACGTGAGTGTGTGTCAACGAGGACTAAAGGAGGCCGTTGTAGGGATCCAGGTTGGGAGAACTACATGGTTTAATGAGACCCAATTTATAAAGGGTTTTCATTTCCTTTCTTTTTTTGAGACGGGGGGGGGTGTCTTACTATATTGCCCAGGGTGGTCTTGAACTCCTGGGATCAGGCGATCCTCTCGCCTCGGCCTCCCGAGCAGCTGGGACTACAAGCGCGCACCACCGCGCCCGGCTTCTCTCTTTTTCTTTGGGTTGCAGGAGATGGAGTACTGAATCATTCTGGGGTTGTGAAAAGGACTGCTGAGACTCTGAATCAATCTGGGGCGTGAAGGGCAGACGGAGGGGGAAGACAGGTCTCGTCGAGGGCAGGAGGCTGCGGAGGTGGAATTTCAGAGTCTCTCGAAGGGGGGCTACCTTGGCTCGCAATCTGTCCCAGGGTTCCCAGGGTGTGTCCGGGATTCTGAGAGAACACGAGAGACGAAGGGAAAAGGCGAGGTCTAGTGCTAGAGGGGGAAGTGGGGTTAGCCGCCTCACCTCGCCTTTCTTTTCGAGCTGATGCCGACGGTTCCGGCTGTTTTTCTCGTTGCTAGGTAACCGTTTAAAAAAAACTACGGCGGCCCAGAAGGGCAGAAGCGGGTTCTCGCCTGGCGGTCGCGGGCGGTGCGAGAACTGAAGTTCCCGACAGGGTGGAGTCGGCCTCCCCCACCCTTCCCCGCCCAGCTCCTGGCCCGTGCTCCGCCCCCGCCCGGAGTCCCCCTTTGGAGTCCCCCGCGTGGGTGGCGGGTCTTCGCAAACATGGTCGCTCCGAGATCTGTCCTTGGGCTGGTGCTGCCTTTAATCCTGTGTGCGGACAGAAGTGCAGGTGAGGCGGCCCGTCTGGGCCAGACCCCTGTCCCTCAGTGTGTGCGGGCTGCAAGGTCCCGCGCCCTCTGCGGGCTCCCGCCCCGCGCCCCTTTCTCAAGGTCGGGGCCTCGAGGAACCCGGGCAGGAGCCGGCGTCTCCGACCTAAACCTGGCCTGGCGTTGTCTGCTGGGCTGGAGCCCAGGACTGTCCGCTCTCTCCACTCCCACCCACTGTCCTTAAGGTGCAGCGTATGGGCGGGCATAGGGAAAGTTCGTTATATCCGAATGGGGAGGCCCAGATATGCTCAGACCGAGGCCTTCAGGAACTTCGAGTAACTGCAGGAGAGCCTGAGGGAAGGGGGCGAAGCTAGTTAGATAATATTTGGAAACAGGTGACTGAGTCATCCAAAACATTACAGCGCTGCCCCCTCAGTGGTGCCCTTGGGGAGGGTTTGCTTCGTGCTGGGTTCCTTGGGGGAATTAAATTTTAACTAGTCTAAGTGGTTATTAGGGCTAAGAAATACAACCCCCTCACTAGCTCAGAATATTTAAGGCTCAGCTTTGATTTCTGGTGCAGCTTACGGATACAGGAGGAGGGATAAAATGCGTGGCATTGGCGAGGAGGGCAACTTGCATTGGCTATGTCTGGCAGGTCAGATCCTGTCATAGCCAGTGAATAACCTAGGCTGGACACTGGGTCACAGTATGGAGAAACTTGGAGGTGGAATCTATCAGCTCATGCAAAGTAGAGATAATATTGCATTACCCCCTTCTTCTTCAAACTACCTCAGTAGACCTCCAAGAGATCTCTGTTAAGAAATGAAAGTTTAGGTGGGAGAATGATGTACAGAAAAATGACTGCCGCTCTAAGAACCCCAAAAGTACCGAGATTCAAATTAACTGTAGCCCATAATTGATTGATTTTCAGAGTTTAACAAAAGTGCAGACTAGTAGCACTCTGTTATTCCTTGACTCTCATCCCCACTCAGTGACTTTTGAGATCCATCATATGAGGTGAAGACAAGGTATTTTATTAGTTTTTCTGTTAAAGACTGTTTATTTTAGTGTCAGTAATTTATCTCCTTTGGGTCATATCTTCACATCACCTTCACTAACACTACATTTTTCATTCATTAGTGCTCTGCTTGGTTGCATATTCTGACACCTTTCCTAAAATTATTCTCCCATTAAATCACTCTCCACGTTTATCATGTAATACTTGAGATATATGGAATTATATGTAATAATAAAACAATAAAATGAACACCCGGAAGCGCACTGCCCAACTGAGAACTAGAACATTGGCAGTTTCTTGAGACTGCCAGTGTGCCTCTCCCCAACACATCTACAAGTTCCCCACCAGAGTTAAAATGTCCTAATTTAGCTAGTCCATTTTTAATGATGACCTTTTCCCCACAACACTAATTCCTGTTTTTCTACTCCAATCCCCAAGTGAAGGAAAGAATTGAAAAAAAAAGTCAAATGTTAAATGTGTGTGTCTTGTGTTTGACACAGCAGTTACCTGTTCACCCCCTTTCTCATACTCTTTGTCTGTTGCTTAATTCATTGGTATTGCTCTACTGTGTACTCTAATTAGCTTGGATCTTGAGATCTACAAGTGCAAGGAATATGATTTTTCTTTGATTTACTACCAGTATCTAACTCTGGCAAAGTGGAAATTGCAGTAAGTTTGGAATCAGGTGACTTGATTTCTAGCCCTGTCATAAAACTATCTGATTTTAGGCCAAAGGAGTTTAATGACTGTGGTATTTTTAGCACTGTACATGTACCCAGTAAAATGAAAGCTCTCCATAGGCAAGGAATTTTGTCTGTCATTATTTTTTCTTTCATTGTTATATTGATGCTTAAAATAATAGGCATCAATAAATATTTTGAATTAATTAATGAACATGCATAGGGGAATTAATTTTTTTAAATTGCTTAATCTACTTGGGTATCAGTCTCTTGATCATTAATATGATTATACCTCTTGATTAGTAAGTAACAAGCTTATACCATGATTATAAAGATCCTTTCCATCTCTAAAATTCTTTAACCCAGCATAGAGTCATCTACAGAGATGTTCAGTAAGTCTAGGTTGGTGAAAACAGACTGACTTGGAAAGGTATTTCCCCTAATCTATGGGCTATCCTGCATACACAAATATGCTGGCAACAGCCAGTTTTTTTCTTCACTCCACTCCCCTACCTCCACTCTCTCTCTACTTAGCTTTTATTTATGTCTGTGGTTTTTGGTTTTTTTTTGTTCCACATGAAGCACCTACCCAAGACAAGGCCCTCCCACACATGTGCCTCCCCCTTCCCCCAGCAGGCTGCCAACCTGCTTATGCAATTCTGGGGTGTTGTAGTCTTTTCTTAGAGCATTTTGCTCATGGTAGCTGTGCATCTCCAGCCCAACAGGCCTTTTGGGTGATCTTCGATTGTCGCGCATATTTCGTGTTCAAACCAGCTCATGGGAGAGAGCTGAAGATTTTTAGGGACTGGACTGTTATTCCAAGAGCAGGATAAATAGGCCACAGAGCTGTGTAGGAGGCTTCATTAACTGTGTTGTCCTGTTAAGTACAGCCTGAGGGGCCATCATCAGTTGTAGCTTCCAGGGAGGAAAATGTCAGCCTTGTTAGTTCTGATTCTCTTTCCTGTCTATCATTTTTGTTTAAAACCCTTAAAAATTTTTAAATTTTGTTAAACTTTTAAAGTTTTTTTTTTGGTGGGGGTCTGTTCTGTTCAAATTGGGATATAACTTAAGTTTTATTTTTTTTTTCCTTTGTTAAGTTTTGATTAAGAACTCCCTGAGAATTTGGGTGGATGTTTGTTATTAACATCCATATAGGTTGGATGTTAAAAATAGGAATGATCTCATTAAAGTGAGTTCTTATTCAGTCTTGTTAGTGACTTTCTAGAATAGAATCCAGTTTTAAGTGTGCTTCCTCTTACTCTTTTTGTATAATTTAGCTTGTGAAATGGGTAAAATTGTGACAGAAGATCTTTGTTGAGACATGTTGACCTTCTGTTTCTCACTGACTTTATTTTTGTGTCTTGATTTATCTGAACTTACCTGAGAAGGAAGCAGACTTGTCACAGATATTTATAAGTACATATTTGGAATTTTTCGTGCAGTACACTGGGTGGTCAAAAAAGCATAATGGGGGAATTACTTGAAGGAAGTTGACATCGGTAGTATGGAAAGGGAGAGACAAAGAGGGAGAAAAAGGAGAGAGGCATGACTCCTTTATTCCTATCATTAGGAATGGATGTGGATGTGGTAATAGATAGTAGAGGAAGAAAATGGTTTATTTTTCTCATAAACATCATCTGTGGGGTGCATGAAAGGAGCATTTTAGTGATTTAGGGGGAGTGAGCTCAGCATTAAGGCCAGACCTGGGAGCAAAGAGAGACTAAGACTAAGTGGTGGGAGGAGACTTGCTGGGTGCCCCGGGATCTCTGATTTCTCTTCAGTGGTCATCTTGTACATGATGTGTATTTTTGGAAACTGTTCTTGTTATGCTGCTTACCTAATTAGTAGGAATAAGATCTAGTTTTGGAAGATTAAAAGGACTGCGTGTATTAACATTCTCTTGTATAAAGACTGTATGTTCCTTGCTGTTTCACCTGATCCAGTTGGTGTTGAATCTCCCGATGATGCTCGCCTCAGTGTTTGCTACATTTTTTAGGCACTGGTTTTCGTTTTGCTTCATACATCGATAATTACATGGTGCTGCAGAAGGAGCCTGCTGGGGCAGTGATATGGGGCTTTGGTACACCTGGTGCCACAGTGACAGTGACCCTGTGCCAAGGTCAGAAAACCATCATGAAGAAAGTGACCAGTGTGAAAGGTAAGGCAGCTCATTCTCTAGTCAGCTGTTGTCTTCTTCTGCCACCTGCTGGATTATATGAAAATGCATGCTTGTGCTCCAGTTCAAGTTATCCATTCATCCATCCATCCATCCATCCATCCATCCATCCATCCATCCATCCAAGTTATTTGAGTATTTATTGTGTGCTAGGCACCAAAGATACAAAGAAAAATAAGACTGAGTCAAAGTCCCTATTCTCAAGGAGCTCATGGAATAATGGAATTAGACACCAAGTAATACAATACAGTGTGATGAATGCTATGATGGAAGTGTATATGGAGTGTCATGGGATACAGAAGAGCAACATCTAACTCAAACTTGGTGGTAAAGGAAAGTTCCCACAAAAGGTGACATTCCAGTTGAATTATATATAGAGGAGAGGCAATAGGGAGGAGTAGTTAAGAACCTAGGCTCTTGAATTCACTGTCTGGGTTTAGGTCCTAACTCTGTCACTTAATGACTATGTAACCATTAGACATGCTATTTAATATCTCTCTGTGTCACAGTTTATCTATAAAGTAGGGATAGTTATACTATGTATAGGATTACTGTGAGAATTAAATGAATTAACACTTGAAAAGTACTTACAACAGTGCCTGGCATACAATAAATGCTGAGTTGGTTTTAGCAGTCATTATTGTTACTGCTATTGTTGTTATTTAGTTAGTCAATCAAATGTCTATTGAGTGCCTACTATGTGCCAGGGACTATGCTAGGTGATACAGTGATGAGCAAAACAGATATGACCCCTCCCTTAATGAAGCTTGTAGGTTAGGAGAAGAAACAGAAAAATAATAAGCAATTACAGTGAAATGTGATAGGTCCTACAGTGAGGAAGGACTGGGTGCGATCGGAGTGCTTAGTAGTGATTATTAGCTTAGTCTAAGACTACTCATCTTGAAGGATGAGTAGGGAAAACCAGGTAGAGGGAATAGCCTGAGCAAAGGCGTGGAGGCATGAGTGCACAAGGATCACTGGAGAAATGGCAGGCAGGTTGGTTGGTCTGCAACCCTGGGGTATGTGACTGGGCGGATGGTGGGAGGTAGGTTAGAAAGGTAGGGAGGCTTGTTTGTCATTGCTAAGGAGTGTATACTTTATTCTGAATTGACAGATTTTAAACAGCAAAACAACATAATCAGCTTGGTATTTTAGAAAGTCCCCTCTGGCAGCACTGTGGAAGATGGATTGGAGATTAGTTAGAGAGAGGTGGTAGGACTCGTGCGCAGGCTAATATGATATCCAGGCAATACGTGATGAGGACTTGGCTCCAGAGAGTAGCTGTGGGGATATTTAAGAATGTGAGAATTAGCAGCTTTCGTGAGCAGGGAGATCTTATAAAGGAGTCTTTATCTAGAAGAGATAAAGATATAGAAGACTAGAGAATGCAAAACTACAAGTTACAGAATGCAGAAAGCCATGCTCAGGGCTGGAACTTAGAGGTAGCTATATATGGGACATAGAGGTAGCTGTATATATATATGTAGTTGCTATATATGTGTAACTATATATGGTAAAGCTAGCTATATATGGGATGTGAAAGTAAGAGTGAGATGGGGAGGTTACTGGGTGGTGGTGGAGTTAATATACAAGTGTGTGGTTTGAGCAATTGCTAGCATATCTATACACACACACACACACACACACACACACACACACACACACACACACGACAAGGAAGCTTGTGGGAATTGTACTGGTCCCTGAAAGAGAGGATTACCTGGTTACTTATCAGTGTATAGAACTGATGATCTAATCCAGAGTGATCCAGACCCTGGCGAAGTCTCTCCATAATTCATTTCCATTCAGTAAACATTTTAAAATACTATATGCCAGGCATAGATGCAAATAAGTGCTTCTAATTCTTGGATTTCAAGACGTTTTAAGGTAAGAGTGTTGTTGGGTAAATCTAAGAGACCTTAAAGGGAGGCTTAAGCTGATTGAGATGGTTCTCTGTTGGATTTAAATGCTGTCAGCATCTTGCAGGATACACTGAAAGAGAAGAATTCAAAGAACTAGCAGTGCTTTCTGTGTCTATCTTAGAAATGAGAGCATTGTGTACAAATAGTGGCACTCTCAATAAATGATGTTGATTTAGAAATCCAAAGAACTGCTGTGGTTTTAAAATAAGAAATAGGATTTCTTTGGTGCTAATAATTAACATTACTAGTAAATATTTAGGAGGCAGAGACTACATAGTACTGTAGAGATAGATACAGAAGGTACATAATGTTATATAGCATTTTAGTTTAAAAACCTCTCATGTATTATTTTTAGAGGTCTTTCCCCCCTTCATGCCTGTTCCAGGATTAATATTGAGGTGGGCAGAGATGAGCAGGAGGGTAGGTGGAATAAAAAGTCATTATTAGGAAATGAGCTTCCCTTTTCCTTTACAGTGATTGTGAACCTGCTCACTTATCTTGAGTTCAATTTTATAAACATCGATTGAGGGCTTACTAAGTATAAATCACTGAGCAAGAAACCTAGGAAAATGCAAAGAAGAATACAAATAGTGCCCATCTTTCAGGAACTCACTCCCTCATTCTGTCTTTTCACAGAAATAGTTTAGGCTCAAGTGATACTCCAGCTGCTCCACTGCAAAGTGATTTATCATTTGGAGTTAAAATAACCAGCAGCAACTTAAGGGAATTGAGTGATTCATGGACTATTGATGATACTTTCACAGGAAAAAGGGTTGATGTTATTGGTGGTGGTGAGCATGGTAGATCTATTTATCAGACTTTCCACATTTGCTGGTAGAGAAGGAAGGTATTTGAGTTTATGGAGATGTGCAAACCTGCTCTAATGGGCATCTTGCTCTGTTCCACCCATGAAGCAAAATAGGCAAAGTGCTATTTGGAATAAAAGAAGTACACATGTAGACATTTCACAGGGCAAAAAAGAAAAGGTCTCTCAAAGGAGACACTACGGAAGATATTGGAAGGTGGACTTCTATTTTAGATTTTGATGAAGACTGAGATTTTTGGCCAGATTACCTCTACTTGCTACTTTGTCTACTTCTGGTAATATTTAACTTATTACCTATAATCCCCTCGGTACACAGAACAAAGTAGGATTTAACAACGTAAAGTTTTGTACAGTAGACTGACACTGGAAACCTGAAGGATGATTGGGACCATGGTCAGTTACTGGGTTGGTTTAAACCATGTTGTCAAATGATGCATGATGATTCTTTCAGACACAAGGAATAAAATCAGGGAAGATAGGGTATATCCTCTCACTGTGACATACATGGATGGGGATATGTGTAGGTATGAGGGTGTGTCTGTCTGTATTTGTCATTATGATTTAGGTAAATAGATATATATGTTCTATAACTTAGAAAAATACAAAAATGACTAAAACCCTCCCTGCCCCTGGTTGCATTGGTAACAAGGGTACTCGTTTTGTATAACAAATTACCATGAACATAGGTGCATAAAACAACACATTTTTACTATCTCATAATTCTGTAAATCTGAAGTCTGGCCATGGTTTTGCTGGGTTCTCTGCTAAGGGTCCCACCAGGCTATAGTCAAGCTGTTGGCCCCGTTGTGTTCTCATCTGGAGGTACAAGTAGAAAGCTGTTTCTCAACTCCCTTTGGTTGGTGGCAGAATTCATTTACTTGTGGTTTCGAATTCAAGGTAGCATGTTTACTACTTCAGATTTCTGACCTCTGGACACTTTTTGAAAGGGCTCTCCTTATTAGGCAGGCCAACTCAGGATATTCTCCCCTTTTGCTACCTTAAAGTCAATCAATTAGGGAGAATCAGTCTACAAATCATGCCTGCCAAATCCCTTCATCTTTTCCATATAACATAATCTAATCATGGGAGCAACATCTCATCCCCTTTGCCATTTTCTATGGGCTGAAAGCAAATCACAGATTCTGTCAGCATCTGAGGGGAGGAGATTAAATAACGGCATGACTTTGGGGTGTCACCCTAAGATGTGTCTGCCACAGCATGCTACAGTTTAAGTAACTTGCAGAACAGTTTTATTGGTAAAAAGAGTATTTAAACTTCCCCCCCCTTGTATTTATATTTGGTGATAGAGAGAACTTCAGGATACAGAATAAATACAGATCAGTAAGGGGCAGCATAGGCAGTAAGGTCTTCTCTACCTCCAAGCCACTCCCACAGACCAGTGAACCACCTTGCAGCTGGTGAGAAGCCAGGGTTCTGTGGGGTGGAAGTGAACAGGGCTACTTTTTCATCTCTGGGTTTTTCTTCTTGATAAGGGAAAGTTCTTGGATAATTTTCCTTTTTCTCTTCTTGGCAGCTGAGATTTTGGCGCAATAACCTGCAAAATAATTAACATCTGATGTGAATAGCAAAGAGAAAAAGCAAGAAAGTACTTTATACTAATTATGTCTCCAGACAAATTATTTTCATTTTTTCCCTGTGATTGTTCTTCCTGTTTTGAGATGGGAATTAATCTGGGTGATGAAGAAAAAATAGAGATAGAGTGTTCTTTAATTATGCCTCTGGCTGGAATATGAAGAGAAGAGCAACAATAAGAAATAGGCCACCAGACATGCTAACCATCAGACATGAAGATATAAAGCTGTAGTCAATTTGCATGGCTTCTTTGTCAGTGTAACCCAGGAATGGCTTTATTTTCTGCCATTTACTTGGTGGAGTGCCTGGCACATGGTAAGCACTCTAAGTAGCTGTATAATGAAGGACGGAAATTAATTTTACTAAAACGGGGAAGAAAGAATATGAGGAAGCAGAGATTGGAATGCACTGAAAGTGAGAATTTACAGAAACCTAGGCCTGGTCTGATCTAGTAAAGAGGTTACAGGATAGCAAATGATTAGAGTCCAGAAGGAGGATCCAGAGCAAGTGTTGTTCAGAAAGTCTATCAGGATCAGCCAAATACCAGCTGGATGCTGAACTCTTCATAGTCAGTAGATCAAGTTTATTATTTGGGCTCAAGCTAATGGACTTGATGGGTCAACACAGTTTCTGAAAACTCTTAACTTGATTGGCCTGTGGTGAGCTCCACTTCAACCATCTGGTCCTGAAGTGGCGGGCCAAGGACTAACCAATTCTCCTTGTGAAACAAGATGGTTTTTGCCTTTATAATCCCAACCTTGCCTTTGGACTAAGAAGCAGTCTTCACAGCTGCTGCTTTCCTTTGTATATGCTTACATAAGAGTAAATCCCTATTATTTTAAATGAACTGTTTCTGAGTTAGTTTGACCATTAGTAATCTCTCTGTAGTGCATCAGGTTTCCCCTGTCTTGTCTGGAAGCCAACATTTCTTTCTTTTTTTTTTTTTATGAGTTGGAGTCTCACTCTTGCCCAGACTGGAGTGCAGTGACCGCTCCCAGCCACTGCTGCCTCAACCTGCTGGGCTCTGGCGATCCTTCCGTTCAGGCTTCCAAGTAGCTGGAACTACAGGCACACGCTACCATGCCCAGCTAATTTTTGATTTATTGTAGAGATGAGGTCTCACCAAGTTGTCCAGGCGAGTCTCAAACCCGCGGGCTCAGGCAGTCCACTGACCTCAGCCTCCCAAAGCACAGGATTACAGGCTGGCCAACATTTCTTAACACTCATTATTTTCAGAGCTTATTTATCTTTTATCAATTGAGAGAGGGGGAAAAAAGCTAGAAACCAAAAGAATTTAAGGACTAGCAGAGAAGGAAGTTCTCCAAGATCTTTGAGGAGGTTTCTCTGAGAAGACAGTTCTTGGGAATAAGGCTCAGGTCTGGATGGCTAGGTCTCTTCAGACTCTTTAGGTCCTAGAGGGGGCTCATCCTCTGGCTACAGTAGTTTGGTATTACCATGTTTTGCCCCAATAGATTGGGCATTGTCTTTTTATTACTGGGTAGCAACATTTTTCAGAAGTTCTGATAAAGGAAGCTTTCTTCACCAGCCATGTTGTCTGGATTGAGGCTAAGTGTAAATACCCAATTAACAGCAGTGAGTTGGAATAAATTGCATAGTAGTAAAAGGCCAAGAAATAGTCCTGTCCTAGGTTTTTCTGGGAGTTGACCTCACCATCATAAGTGAGTGATATTGGTGGCAGAAGGACAGAGCTCCAGTAAGATATGTCAGTGCAGGAAGCCTGGAAAGACCTTGGCAAGCCTGTAGTTGGGACAGATTGGAGAGTCTGCCTGCTCAGAAGTATGAGCCATACGGAGCACATCACACCTGTGCGACACAATCTGTACTAGCTGCCCACTGTTTCCAAAACAGTGATTTTTCTGGTTTAGGTGAATTATACATTTAATATGTTGATGTCTGGCTATTGGTGGTATAAAAACAATACTGAACATTTGGTCTTGGATTTAATTAACCTTTTAGGGTTGGGAATAGCAAGCTCAATTGGTTATGCTTTTAAGAGGAGCAAACATGCACCCTTTCTGTGATGCTTTGGGGTTTTTGGACATTCCCCCAGGATTCTGAGCAATCCCTTATGATTTGAGTTTTTACTAATCACCTGTTGTGTATGTATGCATCATGTATTTGGACATGCATCTGCTTAGCCCTTGCTGATTAGAAAGAACTTTGCACAGTGTCTAGGACAGAGTAGGCACTTGGATGGTATTTTTATAATTATTCTTTCTCACAGCATGGGTATAATAACTTTATGATGCTCCATTTCCAGTTCATATCATTCTTTCTCTTTGAATTTATATTGATCTGATGGGTACAAATTATAAATCAGTTCATATCTTTGGCATAATGCCAAGAATATTTATTGCAAAATGTTCATTTCTCTTATTTCCTTTGTGTTTTCTCACTCTTGTTTCATCAACTTTGCTCATGTTGTTTGGTTCTCCTGGACATAATTTTGCCATTTTGAAGGTATTTTCCTTAAGCTTGTGAGTGTGATGTTGGCAGGGGTGGTCTGGTGAGTGGTAAGAAGCAGGAGGGTAGTGGGGGTGGTTCCTAAGGAATATGCTATGAATTCCTGAAATAGGGTCTTGGATAGTCTCTTGTCTCCCTAATTGAGTTCAAAAATCTTAAGTCTTATAAATAACTGTGTAAATAATTAATTGGGCAGATTGGAATAGCTTCTTCACAGAGAGATTAATTTATATGCCTCCCACTGCTTTTTGATGTATCCATTTCTCCACTCACCAGTTTGTTGTTGGAATCCAGACACTGGTAGTTTTACTCCTTGTTAGCAATATGGGAGGAGGTGGGGAGTGGTAACAAGGGAATTGATACCACCATGTAAGTCAAAGTTTCAGATTATAAATGATTTTCTCTAATCTGTGCTTACGTTTGACTGGATAATTACAAATAAGTTTGGGGTACTATGTAAATCTAAAATATTAGGTTATGGTAGCCGGGCTCGGTGGCTCAGCCTGTAATCCTGTGCCTTGGGAGGCTGAGGTGGGTGAATTGCCTGAGCCCGCGGGTTCAAGACCCACCTGGGCAACTTGGCGAGACCTCATCTCTACAATAAAAAAAAAAAATCAACCGGGTGTGGTAGCGCGCGCCTGTAGTTCCAGCTACTCGGAAGGCTGAGGTGGAAGGATCGCCGGAGCATAGCAGGTCGGGGCTGCAGTGGCCGAGAGCGACCATTGCACTCCAGTCTGGGTGTCAGAGGGAGACTCCAACTCAAAAAAATAAAAAATTAAAAAATTAAAAAAAAAATAAAAAAATAAAATAAAATAAAATATTAGATTATGGTAATATTGACAGTTGAATAGTGTAACAAGAATTTCTGTTTTATGTTTTCTATTAAACTCCTTGGAATTTTAATCTGTGTGTATATTTTTGTCTGTTCTCATTTAGGATTACAACTGGGTAATTTATCTTTCTTGTAAATGCTTTAGTTACAAGTAAAGAGGGATTGGTACAGATTAAGGATAAAAATGCTGCTGCTCTTGTTAGTTCTAGCCTCTTGCTTGAAATTTGACCAGTCTCATAGCTTTGAATTCAGTTTATCACAGAGGCTGGGAATAGCCACAAATGAATACAACTGGCTTTAATTTCATTTTAATTAATGGATTGATTAATTCCTTAGAGCCCTGTTACTATTTCAGCACACTCTGATACCTGGACGGTGGTACTGGATCCTATGAAGGCTGGTGGACCTTTTGAAGTGATGGCACAACAGACTTTGAGGAGAATGAACTTTTCTCTGACAGTTCATGATGTGTTATTTGGAGATGTCTGGCTTTGTAGTGGACAGAGTAACATGCGGATGACTGTGTTACAGGTAATTTGCAGAGTCTCAGCAAAAACTAAACAGTGTTGATGATGATGGTGATGATGAAGAAAAAGAGGAGGAGGAGGGGGCAACAAGGACAAAAGGGGGCTGTTTCTGTTTCCTGAGTACTTACTATTATGTATAGAATCTGTTATAAGTGCTTTGAATGTATGAATTTGATTTAACTACCATAAGAGGTAAGTTATTGGTTAAATCATTAGTTATTGATTAGCACTAGTATTCTTTGATTTGTTTCCTTTATAGGTTAAGAACTTTGAAAGATTACAGTTTTCTCTAGTACTTTCTCCAAAACTGAGCTTTTTCTCAAGTTAGTTTTTATTTTCTTTTTTTCATTATCCACTTCTCCATCTTGATAAATAATTAAATTTGAGATTTAAAAATCTCTACAACTAGACCATGATTTCAATCATTTCTTTTTTTCAAAACTTTTATGATTTCTTGCTTTGCTCCTATTGCTTTTATTCCTTATGGTTTCTTCTTCTTTTTTTCTTTTTATAATCTATTACTAAATAATGGTACTAAAATGATCTTACTCTGGACATACCTACTTCATTTCATCATTAGTTTTCTGATTCAGAATCTAAATTCTTGTATTGAAGTCTTCCTAATCAGTATTTTATTTACTTTTATTTTCTGCCTTACTTAAATATATGGAAGCTTTTGAAATTGAAGTATTTATTAAAATGAACTTTGACTGGACTTTTTTAGCATAAGTCAATGGAAGCACAATTGAAGTGTTATCTGTTGATAGAAGGAATGGTTTTGTATAGAAGTGCAATTGCTGTTAACTCAGTAAGGAAAGGAAAACAGTACTTTTCTTAATGCTTTAATTGCAGTTTCCTGTTTGCACAGCAAGGCATCAACCAGATCTGTTTGTATCTATATAGTCACTTTCTCAATAGCAGCCTATGCCAGGGGATCCCATCCCATTTCCTGTCAAGCTAAATCAGATTTTGATTCTTATGAGTAAACACATTCTTTCTGCCTAGAATTTACCCTGAACATTTTCTGTATTAAGCTAGAGCTGTAAGTGCTGAAATAGAGGGGAATAGAAAAAAGATTTCATGTGAAATATTCAGGTGTTTTTTTTTTGGTTTTAAATCACGTACTTAGTTTGCAAGACAACATTTTAGGTGCTGACAGTACCAAAAGCCAAGTTTTCTAGTCTCTTATCAGTTTATAGAACCTTATTTTGATCAAAAGGATGCCCTATATGACTTTCTCTTTATTCCTTTTGCTCCTTTTCCCCTACAGACTCTTAACACACACACACACACACCCCCACACCCACACAGACACACACATACACACACACACACACACACACACACACACACACACACACACACACACACAATGTCTGTTTTTCTTTCTACTTCCTTTCTTTCATGTGACTTTTCTGAGGAGATAAGATTTCCACTATAACCTACCACTCTTCACATTCAAGTGAAGGGAATGGCAGATTGTATGCCCATCTTGTTGTTAGGGTAAAGTGGAATTTTAAAATTGAATGTTATTTATAACACTGAGTGAGATGTTTATAAATGGAGAAAAGTCTAAATGTTCATCTGTCGCCTCCTAAGTCAGGGTAGGTCTTAAGACTTGGATATTTCTAGTTAGGCTCAGAAAAAGATGGCCAATGTCAGCCAGGGAAACCCATTTTTCAATATCTTGGGACTCCCCACGTTCCTGCTTTACAAGTGGAGAAATTAAGATCCAGAAGAGAAGGACTGGTACCACATTACAATAAAAGATTCACAGGAGTTGTGATGGCTGGCTTTTTAAATAGTCATCTCAACTAGAGCTGCTTCTACCATAGCAAAAGGTAAAATCACTTACAGAATCCCCAAATTCTTTTAAGTAAATAAAGTGTCTTTGTGTCATTCAGTGTTTGTCTGTATATACATACACACACAGACACACATTCATATGTCTGTCTTGCTCCCCCACTCGGACCCCATGCCAAGATTCTCTGAGGAAATAGATTCTTGACGTGTCTTCATTAATTCAAGAATGTGGTATAAAGGTTACAAAATGAACACCGGTGAGCAGCTGCTTTGATGGTGAACGGTCGGGTCTCTAGAGAGGCAGCAGTGCTCTCTCTCAGCCTCAGCGGCGTTAATGACTTCAAATACCTTAGTATTCATTTACATCCTCATTTAAATACTTGGTAGAAAAATAATTACACTGAGGTGTTTGATGAGATGAAATCTGATCTCAGCAGATGGATAAGGCTTCCCCTTTCATCAGCAGGGAAACCAAGTGTCATTTAAATGAAAATCTTCCTGAAATCTCTTTATTCCTAAATTTGCTGCCAATGTCCCAGAGGAAATGCTTCCATCAAAAAGGCCTAGTGATATTGGGAAAGGATTCCAATTTCAGAAGTAATTGTCATTGCATTGTCAGATATAGCAGGAATTGTCCCCACCCCCATTTTTGTTAACACTTTTTGTGTCTTTAAAGTTTGGACTTGAAATAATACACAAATGTGAATTTGAAACTGGGAGTTTTCAGCTAATGTTTTGGATCCATTTCCATGTGCTGGTAACAATATAGAAGAATGCCAACCATCCTGACTCTTTTGGCCTTGCAATACTCTACAATACTAGCAACGGGTCTAAAAGACAAGTAGATGTTCTCCCAAACTGCCTCCCGAAGCTGGTGTCTCACTGCCATGAGGCACTTGAGTTCCCAGTCAGTGCGGAAGCTAGTGTGGGTGGAGAGAATGAAAGCAGTTCATCCACTGTTTCCATGGAAGCAACATAGGCTCATAGTGCTTAGTGCAGAACTGAATTTTAAGGGAGGCGACTTTTTACAGGTACTTGCTGCTGAAAAACAATTTTCCTGCCAGAATATACTGTGAGTGCATTAGCCTGTTCTTACTCTTTAATGTTTACATTAAACTTGCCAGGTAAGATTCTGAACAAACAGGTCTGGATTTTATATGGAATTTTCCCTAGATCATTTATAATCTCTGTTCTGGTAGTGGGAAGACCAGTAACACTGATAGGCTAGAACTGTTGCTACCTAGGGAGCATTTCAGATTGTGGCTCCCATTGTGACTAAAAGAGCCATTCTGTTTGCATCTGGCCAAATTATTGGGTGCAGCAGGCTTAGTGGCAAGTCCAAAGGTCCAGCATATTTCAGTGAAGTGCTCTGTGTGGGCACCCTGACTGCTCCAGCATTTCTCTTACACCGTGGCTGGAGGCCCAGCTGTATTCTCTGTGGTGGGTGGGAGGGAAAGCGAGCCAGCTGCACGCTCGCTCTGTGGCCAGCGGCCAATGGAAAGTATGCAGCCTCCTGTGTCTCTTGCTGTGGCAGTCCAACTCAGCTGGGGCGCTTGTTCCCTGAGGCGAAAGGTAACTGGGCTTTCTGAGGCTCCTGCTAGCCCTTTGTTTTGGGAGAAGCTGGACTAGTCTGGGGGATAGTGAGGACTCAAGGAAAAAACACACTCAAAAAAGCAAAGCAACATATTTCTGATATATTCTTTTTTTAAAATAAAAGAAAAAACGTAACTTAAAAAAAATCAAGTTTAAAGGAAAAAACACTTGTGCTTAAACTCATATAGGAATGATGCTAAATAGGATAACAAAGAAACTACTTCATATAGAACATACAATCTTGTCCAGAAAAACTCTAAGCCACTCTTTTCATAATCTAGGCAACTGATGAGGCTTCATAAAGTGATTTGGGAAAACGTGATTTGTCTTTGGGTGGACCCTTTTTTTGGTTTAATTCCTTGAGGACTCTTCTACCCTGAATACCACCTTTCAAACCACCATACCTTCCCTGCTTTGCTTTGGTGATTAACCAGGACTGAGAAGAGAATATAGTCAGCTTTCTGTATTTATGAATTGCATATCTATGGATATAAAATATTTGAAAAAAATCGATTAAAAATACAAAATTTTAAAAGTACAAATTTTAAAAAACAATATAGTGCAGGTTGAATATGCCTTATCTGAAATGTTTGGGACCAGAAGTGTTTCGAATTTCAGAGTTTTTTGGATTTTGGAATATTTGCATATACATAATCAGATATCTTTGGGATGAGACCCTGGTCAAAATGTGAAATTAAATTGTTTCATATATACCTTATACACATAGTCTGAAGGTTTTTTTTTAATATAAGATTTTTAATCATTTTGTGCATGAAAAAAGTCTATGTTAAATACTTATATGTGGAATTTTCTACTCGGCATCATGTTGGCACTTAAAAAGTTTCAGATTTTGGAGCATGTTGGGGTTTAGACTTTTGGATTACGAATGCTTAACCTGTATAACAACTATTTACATAGCATTTACATCATATTAGGTATTATACATAATCTAGAGATGATTTAAAGTATACAGGAAGGTGTTTGTAGGTATATGCAAATATGTGATTTTATACTAGGAACTTGAGTATGCACAGATTTTGGTATCCTGGGGAGAGGTGGTCCTGGACAACTGTATAAGCATTTTGAGACTGATTTTAGTATGTTGTAAACCATCATTTCTCAGCTATGTTTCTTTTGAACACACTTCTCTTGTATGGTATGGATTAAACCTACCTCCCCAAGGCCTTTTTGGTTCCATGAAGGCTCCCAAGCACCATTTAAAAAATAAGTCAATTGCCATGGGTTACATTATCATATACATTTTCAGAATAGAGGTGTTTTAGTTTCAAGATATCACAGTGTTCTAATTGATAGTCAATATTCTCTAGCTTAAATTACTTTACAACTCTTCTTGACTAATGTATACCTGCTCCTTAGGATTACAGGTTTCATTATATGCCTGCCCTTTTTGGGAACATGATTTATCATGATTTCTGTTGGTCAAAGTGGATCAAGGTGAACCAGTTCAGCCCACTGGTTTTGGTTATTCATTTTGTGAAGGCTCAGAAGGAATTCAGAGTATTAGTGACGTTTATTAAGAGGGATCAGGCTAGCTCACCACCCACTAGGTTAAATGACATTTCAGTTTCTCTTCTAGATATTTAATGCTACAGAGGAGTTGTCTAACACTGCTGCCTATCAGTCTGTCCGTATCCTGTCCGTCTCTCTCAATCGGGCACAGCAGGAACTGAAGGACCTTGTTGCGGTTGACTTGAAATGGTCTAAGCCCACCTCAGGTATGTGATTGCTTAAATATGTGCCATCTCTTATAACAAGTTAGCTCCCCAAGTGGAATCTATAAGCCTGAATTTGGTTCATATCTGCCTATTTATTATTAATCAATTCTTTTATTCCTTTCTTATCGACTCTCCATCCCATTCCTGATGGTGACTATTTCATATTGCTTCCCAAGTCTCTACCAGTGAGTTTTCCCCCTTGCTATGGGGAAATGACCCTTTCTTCCACAGCTTTAGTGAACATATTGAGGCCCTTTAGCATGAGTTCTGCCAGTATCTCTCCAGTGCCTTCACTCTATATTCTCTTTTTCTCTTTTTTCCTTTATTTCTGTGTCTGAAGATAACTGACTGGTCTCTTTTCAGGGCTTACTCTGATTCAGGCTCTTACTTCCTTCAGAGCCTTCTTTTATCCCTTAGTCCAGTCAGCATGGGACATTTTGTTTCATGCCAACTCTGTGTCAAGCTCTGTGCTGGGCCCCCAAAACACACCAGTGACTAAACAGACACAGTCCCTTTTCCCTGAGTTTAGCCTTTCCTTTATTCTAACAAAACAAAACAAAACAAAGCTGAACCTAACAAACACCCTTCTCAGATGCTGCATTTCTCTCCTTTGCTTTGTTAAACCTTTCTAGAACATTTTTTGTTTAAATTCTTTTTACTGCCTCTTCATATGTTCACTCTTTAACCCTTTGTAATCTGGCTTCTGCTTTCACCTCAATCATTTGTTCACCTCAAGGTCACTACTGTACTTCTAATTACAAACCTGAAGACCTCTGCAGCATTTGACATCATGGGCTGCTTCTTTTAAAATTTGCATATTTCCCTACTAGCTTGCATGGTACTTCTTTTTCCTGGTTCTTTTCTGTCTTCTCGTTTTCTGTTTCTTTGCTTCTTCAATCCCTTTCTTCAGATGTGACCCTTGTATTCTTTCTGGGCGCTTTTCTTTTTTGTCTGCATGTGCTTTTCTTTGGTGGTGTCAGATCGCTCCTACATTTTCAAGTGTTAATTCATCAGTAAACATTTGAGTGCCTATATATGGTAGGTACTGTTCTAAGTGCTGAGGGTAGAATAGTAAATAATACAGGGAAGAATACCTGCCCTCATGGAGCTTGTGGTCTAGTGTGCGGGAATATAGAAGAGGAATAATAAAGTTAGTAAATTATATACCAAGTATCTGATACTATCCAGTCTTTATCTGAACTCTCCCTGTAAAAGAGCTCAGGAACTGAGTGAAGATTTTCGGATGAATCCTTTGCTCTATGAACTTTTACTGTATGTTATCTAAAACAGGGGTCCCTAGAACAGGGCCACACTGCAGGAGGTGAGTGGCAGACCAATGGAGCATTGTCTGCTATGAGATCAAGGATGGTGTCAGATTCTGATGGGAGCGCAAACCCTATTGTGAACTGTGTATGTGAGGGACCTAGATTGCATGCTCCTTAAGAGAATCTAATGCCTGATGATCCCTACCCTCCCTCTGTCCATGGAAAAATTATCTTCCATGAAACCGTTCCCTGATACCAAAAAGGCTAGGGACTGCTGATATAAAACTTAGTACTTAATCAGATTTGGATAATGTATTACTGTGCTACCTGAACTCTTTTTCATACTCTGCTCTCAGAGACTGAATAAATTTAGATACCATGGAATAGGTTAGATGGTGGTATGTGCTAATGAGACAAAAATAAATGAAATACATCAGGGAAGGGAGGCAATAGGGAAGGAGTGTGGGTGGTGGGATGGGTAGTGGTTTGTAATTCACAGTGGCCAGGGAAGTCCCAACTGAGAAATGCAACATTCCAGTCATAACCTGAAAGAGGTGAGTCAAGGCAGATGTCTGGGAAATGGCATTCAGGGTAAAATCTCTCCCACATTGAGAATCTCTCCTGCCTCTTCTTCTGTTGTCACATCTTTCTGGCTGTAACTGGAAAAAGTTATCTAATTAGATTGGACCCAGTAGGGCTATAGTTTTCCACTTTGGAAAAGATTTTCCTTAGAATCTTTTGAAGGAGGTAATAGACCAAGGCCAAGTATGTTGGTCTCAATACTATACATTTCAGTGCCTCTCAGTCTTATCCTGCTTTTGAAAGGTCTTAGAAAGGAACAGAAGAGACGATCCTTCTCACCTAGACCCATCTAGTAGCTGCAGTTTGTATCCATATATTTTTTCCCTGACTCTTTTTCTTTAACTATTTCTATGACAGAAAACTTAGGCCATGAACAGTTCAAGTACATGTCAGCAGTGTGCTGGCTCTTTGGGCGTCTTCTGTATGACACTCTGCATTATCCCATTGGATTAATCTCCTCTAGCTGGAGTGGGACACCCATTGAAGCCTGGTCATCTGGAAGGTCACTGAAAGCCTGTGGGGTTACTAAACAAGGGTAAGAAGCATTCTCTAGTCTGAGAGAGAGCCTGCTAGGGAATTATATGAGAGAGAGGGTTATGGTTTCCTTTGGGGAGTAAGCATATGTTGAATGTCGAAATGAGTATTGAATGTATGTAACTTACTCATGCAGAGGTAAGGTATCATTTTCACTGTCATCACCACCACAGTCATTGAGAATATGGCAAAAATTATCCTTTTCTTTAATAATAGTAATAGCAAATGCTTACTGAAAGATTTCTATATGCCAGACACTGTTCTGGCACTTTATATATATTAAGTGTCGATACTATTATCAGACCATGGATAAAGACACTACGTCTCAGAGAGGTTTTGTTAACTTGACATGACTAGTTAAAGTGGCAAAATCTGGCTTCAGTGTCTGTGCTCCTAACCACTGTGCTATACGGCTTAGAAGAATAAACAGTCTAACAGAAAGAACAAATATATATGCATGTACCACAAAAATATATCCGTATATTGATGTCGAAAGCCAGCTAGGAAAAGCTGGATCAGGAAAAATATTTGTGGGGTGAAAGAGCTAGTTAATAAAAATCCTGATACTAATATCAGATGAGCAATATGTGACTGCTTTCATGGACATTGTCTCATTCATTCTGGAAAGGGCTCTGGGAGGAAGATGGATTTGAACTCTCAGTACAATCTAGATAAAAGCTTGCCTGTGAGGGAGTGAAGACATTCAACTTTGGAACAGGAAGAATGCCTGCAATAGAGTAGGAGGGAGCATCAGACCCAGCACATGATGAGGGGCTCTCAAGCTAGGTCTCCCAGGTCTCTAAGGTGGGTGCAAGGGATAATACCAAACGAGGGGAAGTGGGCATTCTCATACACAGCAGCTATGAGGACACATTCAATTAGTATTCTGCAGAGAAATTTGAGAACATGTTCAAAGCTTTAAAAAAATATGCCTTTTGACCACCCAGTGATTTTATTTCTGGGGATTTATTTTAAGGAAATAATAATTGAGTATGTATACGTTGATTTAGCTATAAGGAAGATAAACATGGCATTGCTTATAAAAGAAAAAAGTTTAAAATAATCCAAGTATCCATCCACTGAGTACTAGGTTAAATAAATTTATTGCTTGTGTGAGGGACTCATAATACAGCACTCCTTCCCTCTGGCTTTAATTACTTTATCTGGAAACTTGGATGACCCACTCTGAACTTACAGAAAGCTGACTGATACATTTATCCTGGGAAGAACCTGGAGGTGAAATTCAGAGACTGCTCACATGTTTTCAAGTAAAACAGAATTTCAATTCAATTTAATTCTGTGTTGTTTTTATCAGAAGTTTGCCCCAAGTGAAAGTCGATAGATGCTCACCTTAGAGATCATCATGTGTTCAGACACCAGCTCTCTGGTGACACTTGTGCATCTTATTGATTTTAGGTCCATTCCGTATGATTCTGTAACTGGTCCCAGTGAGCACTCTGTTCTCTGGAATGCCATGATCCATCCGCTACATAATATGACCCTGAAGGGGGTGGTATGGTACCAGGGTGAGTGCTTACTTTCCTATTTCTCTAATGTTTACAGCTTTTGCTATATAACAAACTACCCTAAAACTTAGTGGCTTAAAGCAATAGTTTTGTGACTTTATTTAGCTCACTATTCTGTGGGTTGGCGGGGCGGTTTTTTTTGTCTGAGTTGCTTTAGCTAATTTTGGCTGGTATCTCTTATGTGTCTTTGGTCACCTGGCAGGTTGTCTGGTGGCTGAATGACCTAGGATGGCCTCTCCCTCATATCTGTTGACTGGGGGCTGTCTGCTGGGGCACTGTGGTTCTCAGGTGACCTTCCAACCTTCAGGAAACTAGCTGAGACCCACTTGTTATCTGTATAGTAGTCCCAGGGTCCTAGGTGCATCAAAGGAGAGCAAGGCCCAAAGTTGAAGTGCTTTTCAAGACTCTGCTTGCATCATGTTTGCTGATGCCCCTTTGGTTGGAGCAAGTCACCAGGCCAGTCCAGTGAGGCCACTACCTCAGGGCATTGATAAAGGGAGGAGAATCATGTGTGGCAACTTTTGCAGTCTACCCCAAACTTCTCTCACAATTTTAACTGTTTTTAGGGGAGTCCAATATAAAATATAACACAGACCTGTACAATTGCACATTCCCTGCGCTCATTGAAGACTGGCGCCAAACCTTCCATTGTGGCTCCCAGGGGCAGACAGAGCGATTCTTCCCATTTGGATTTGTCCAGGTATGATCAGGGTAAAGGCTTGCCTGTTCCTGCCAACCCCTGTTCCTGTCTTGAGAGGAAGAGGGTTTATGGGCATTGGTGTGGGATGTGCTCTTTATCTTGGAATTCATATTCCTTTTTTGTCCTCACAGTGTGCTGGTCAAGAACTGAATGTAAGGCTTAATTCAAGAAGCTAATATGTCTTCTTACGAAAAAAGCATTACAGGTTTATTGAAGAAATATTAAAAAGATAAGCAAGCCGGGCTTGGTGGCTCAGCCTGTAATCCCGTGCCTTTTGAGTGGATTGCTTGAGCCCACGGGTTTGTGGGTTCGAGACCCACTTGGGCAGGCAAGACCTCATCTACAATAAAATCAAAAAAATTAGCCGGGTGTGATAGCGCACGCCTGTAATTCCGGCTACTCTGAAGGCTGAGGCAGAAGGATCACCGGAGCCCAGCAGGTCGAGGCTGCAGTGACCGGGAGCGGCCACTGCACTCCAGTCTGGGCGACAGAGTGAGACTCCAACTTAAAAAAAAAAAAAAAGATAAGCAAAAAGGAAGCTAAAAACATTGATAATTTTACAATTCAGAAATAAGCAGACTTCTTTTGTGCATGTGTTTTTGAAATAGGATCTGTACCATGTCTTGCTTTTTTCCTAATGTCATATTGTGAACTTTTTTCATGTCAGTAAACATTAATTTTTCAACATAATTTGCAGTGATTGCAAAATATTCTGAAATATGGCTGTATTATAATTTATTTAACCAGTTCTCATTAGATGTGCACTTAGGTTGTTTTAAATGTTTTGCTCTTATAAGCATAGGCATGTTTATTTCCTTGTAGCTAAATTGTTGCACAAACATGTAATTATTTCCATAAGATAAATTCCCAGAAATGAAGTTGCTGTATCAAAATGGACAGACTTAAAAAAAAAAAAATTTTAAATATGTGAGGTACAATTCAGGGTTTGGTATACAAATGTTCATTATGCAGGTATCCTTGTTGATGAGGTGTGTCCCCCCCTCCCCTGGCGGTTTCCCACTACTGTCAATTCCATTCCTCTCCCCCCCAGGAAGTTTCCCACTACTGCCAATCCCTTTCTTATAGTGTTATGATAATTATTCAAGGTCTGCTTATGAGTGAGAACTTGTGATACTTGGTTCTGTGATAGATCACTCAGTATTATAGCCTCTAAGTTCATCTAAGTTGCTTCAAAGTTCATAATTTTGTCCTTCTTCATGACTGTGTAATATTCCATCATGTATATGTACCACTTTTTAAAAATTCAGTCCTCTTTCAGTAGGCAGCACAGTTGGTTCCATGTTTTTGCTTTTGTGAATAATGCTGCAATAAACATGCGTGTGCAGGTATCTTTTCCATAGAGTGATTTGAGTTCCTCTGGATATATTCCTAGTAGGGGGATTGTGGTATCATATGGAATGTCAATTTTTAGATTAAAAAAGCACAGCTTTACAAGACTTTGAACATGCCCTTACATTTTTCTGTATGTTTATACCCTTAGCATGTGTCTGTAAGAATGTCTCCTTCGCCACACCCTCCCTGTCCTGGTGTATCCTATACCCCTCAGAATGCACTATGGCCTCTCACTTCCACGCCATTGCTCGTGCTCCTTGCCTGGAACAATCTTTCCCTCCTACTCTTTCTCAGCTTTTACTCATCCTTTTATCTCAGCCTGGATACTGGTTAGGAAACCCTCTGTGTCTATCCAAAGTCTGGGTTAGATGCCCCTGTTCCTTCTACTTCTCCTTTTACTTGCATGTAGGTTGCACGTATGACCATATTTTTGCAGGTCACATTTATATCCCTAGTATCTTGTTGGTCAATACTCATTAAATAATGCTTAACACATACATGAAAAAATGTATCAAGAGAGACCATAAGTTAAAAAAAATTTTTTTTTTTTGATTCATAGTCTCACTTTGTTGCCCATGCTGGACTGTGGTGGCATGATCACGACTCACTGTAGTCTCAACCTCCAGGGCTTGGATGATCCTTCTGCCTCAGCTGCCTGGCTATTTTTTTAAAAAATTACTTTTTGTAGAGATGGAATCTTGCTGTGTTGCCTTAGCTGGTCTCAAACTCCTGGGTTTAAGCAGTTCTCCTACCTCAGCCTTCAAAAGTGTTGGGATTATAGGAATGAGCCACACACCCAGCAAAAAACCATACTTTTAATGGGAGAAAATTAGAAGGGTTCTACTTTCAGCCTTGCATAAAAAGAATAAACATATTTGGCCAAGTTAATAATTCCCTTGCCTCCACCTGTTCATATGACCTCTCCAAGACTTAGACTTTTTAGCAGGGTAGCAGTTTTGGCTTTTCTAGAACATGGGGAATTAAACAAGTAAGGTGTTGTAAAAGCAAGGCTCAATTTACAACGAATGGCAGAGTAGACTTTACCATTTGATTGGGATATACATAGTTCCAGACATCTGCCTCTATGTATCCCATGATACCTTGTCTATCCTCCCATCTCTTCTACCTCATCCTATTTCACGGTACACTTTTCTTGAATAAAGATTTTTATAGATCTTTTTTCCACTTAAAATGTCTTTATAGTAATTTTCTGTCTTTTCTACATTTGTTTTGACTTTGAAATAAGATCATTCTGCTCATTATTTTCAAAATAGCAGCTCCTGTCACTGGTTCTGTATTGCTGTTGGTGGTGGCTGCACTTGGGTTTTGGAGGTACTTTTTCCTCTCGTAGCTTGTGCACGTGGTGATTTGAATGTGACTTCAGCCAATTCAAACAGAGTATGTGCTGAATGCTTATTATGTGCTGTGAGATGCTAGCACCTTGTTGAGGTGCTAGAAATATAGCATGAATCAGAGAGACCTGGCCCTTGCACTTATGCCTTATGGTTTAGTAGAAGGCCTTGACCCTCCAGGCTTTAACTTGATTATCACCAACAAAAATATGTTGGCTACTTGTGGAAAACTGGAAATATAAACATACATCTTCAAAGGGAAACATAAAACATAATATAATGTTTCAGACCATCCAGGCTAGACTGCCTGGATTCAAATACTAGCTCTGACATTTCTTGAGCTACATAATTTTAAACAAGATATTTAAACTTTTTGTTATTTTATTTTATTTAATTAATTTATTTATTTTTGGGTTGGAGTCTCACTCTGTCGCCCAGACTGGAGTGCAGTGGCCGCTCCCGGCCACCGCAGCCTCGACCTGCTGGGCTCCGGCGATCCTTCCGCCTCAGCCTTCCAAGTAGCCGGAATTACAGGCATGTGCTTCCACGCCCGGCTGATTTTTTTTTTTATTTATTGTAGAGATGAGGTCTCGCTGCCCAGGTGGGTCTTGAACCCACAGGCTCAGGCAATCCACTCTCCTCAGCCTCCCAAAGGCGTGGGATTACAGGCTGAGCCACCGAGCCCGGCTTGTTATTTTAAATATTAAATGAGTTCATCCATGTAAGCCTAGCACATACTGGATAATGTTAGTGTTTATCATTATTAATGAGAGAAATCAAAATATGGAGGGACAGTTGGTTTTTTATGGAAGATAGATTGGCTTTATAGAAGTGTTGAGTTTGAAATGATGACTGCAGTCATTAGAGTGCAGTTAGAGATGTAGGACTCAAGCTCCATGAAGAGACCAGGGCTAGACACTTGTATCAGAGAGTTATAAGTAGACTGAAGTCTGGGAGAGAAAGACAAGAGCAGGAGGTTTGGGACTGGAGTCCCTAGGAGTATGCTGTTTAAAAGCAGTTTGTTTGGAGGAACAGACCACAACCTGCATTGTTATTTGTAAATCCTCTGTGTGGCCAGTTTTATATTCTTTGGCTGGTCTACTGGCTATGGTATTTCTACTAGTCGCTGTGGGAGACAGAACAATGCCCCAGCCTATCTCACCCAAGATTAGGAAAAACACAGGAATTTCATTTGGGTATGGAGTATGCTGATGCCCCCATGTGGCCAGTGTATAGTAGTGCTGTCAATGAACTAGAGTGGAGAATTGCTGCAAGAATTCTCACTCTGCAAACTGCCATTTTGAGTAAACTCCTTTGGCTTTAAGGGGCTGTTACTAGCATTTCTCTCTGTTGAGCTTCAGGCTGGTACTTATCTTATACTCCTTCCTGTGGCTCTGTTGCTGTGATCTTCACCATACCCTGGCTGGGGCCCATGGTTCTACTTCTGGGTGTTGTATAGAAGATATGGATCTTTTTATTCTCATTTTCTAGTTTTCATGAGATTCCATTGGATCTTTTTATTCTCATCTGGATCTTTTTATTCTCATCTTTTTATTCTCATTTTCTAGTTTTCATGAGATTCCATTGTGAAGCTTCAGCAGCACCTTTTATCATTTCCTATGTTAAAGTCGATTTGCATAAGATAATTTTAATAAGAGAATTGGAAATGTCTCTTTAGTCCTGTATCATATCCAAGCCTCCTTTCTGTACTATTGCAACCTCTCTGTGTTTTCCTGATGCTTTTCCTGTCTTTCTGGAACAGCTCAGGAAGCAGAAAACATCCTCTGCTCAAAGCTTCATTTGGCCACATTCACAGGAATGATGTCAGGTATTTTCTGGGCTGTGGGAGTAATAAGACAGGGTAGAACAGTCTGTGTATAATACAGGCTTCTGGTGGGGTCAGACATTTTGAAATGGAGTCAAAAGACAATGTAGCTGCTGGCCCAAACTGCTTCTCAGTTTGTGGTTTGACTTATAGTTAGATCACAGTTTGTGAAAGAGAGGTAATAGGTTGATGCCTTTCATTGGCTGGAACTAGGACCATAAGACGTTATGTAAATGAAGGACAGCTAGATGTCAACATCAGAAAAGTAAGAAAATAATAAGACCACATGTATAATTGTAATAGTAAACAATTTTTCTGGGAACCTTTGTCCTTTCCAGGAGTAGGAGTATATCAACTTTCAGTTTAGATGAAAACAAATCCTGTTAACTCACTCTGTGTTCACAGTCTGACCACTTCTCATTACCATGACTGCTCCTATGCTAGTGGAAGCTACCATCACATCTTCCTCGGATTATCATGTCCTAACCGGTCTTCTATCCTGTTTCTACCTTTTCTCTTTCTTTAGGATCTTCTCACTGTATAGGTCAAAGTGATCCTTTAAAGTGTAAGTCTCATAGGAAGGTTCCAGTGGCCTTTCATGTGACTGGAGTTAACAAGGCTATACATGACCTGCCACCATTGCCCTCTCACCCCATCTCCCAATTCTCTCTGCCTTGCTTACTCCGCGTCAGTCACTCTGGCTACCCTAATTGTTCTTTAAACACACTAGACATACGTCTATCTTAGGGCCTGGTATTTTCTTTTCCATTCTACCTGGAAAGTTCTTTCTCCACTGTATTAATTTTCTCTTGCTGCAGAACAACTTGTCTATTGGTTAGAAGCAAGTTCTGTCAGTCTGTATTTAGCAACTTAAACAATATAACACACTTTTATTATCTCACAGTTTCTGTGGGTGGGGAGTAAGGACATGCATGGCCTAACTGGGTCTTCTGCTTAGCACGGCAGTGAAGGCGTTAGACAGCTGTGGTCTCATTTGAGGCTTGGGGTTCTCTTCTGAGCTCATGTGGTTGTTGGCAGAATTCACTTCCTTGAAGCTGCAGAACTCATGACAGCCGACTTGAAGGCCAGGAGGAGAGAGAGTCTGACTTCCAGAGCCTCTTTGAAAGGACCCAACTAAATCAGGCTCACCACGATACTCGCCTTTTTGGTGATCTTGAAGTCAACTGAGTAGGGATCTTACATCTGCAAAATCCCTTCACCTTTGCCATGTAACAGAACATAATCATGGGAGTGATATCCCATTACCTTTGCCATGGACACATGTTCAAATCAAAGGACGGTATTTGTTGCCCTTGTGTCTATTGGTTAGAAACAAGTTCTGTCAGTTTGTCTTATTCTTGACTATTCCATTCCCACTACTATCCCTCTAGAATAGACCTTTGGTTTTTGGTGACTATTGGTTGGAAGCAAGTTATAGGTCTCTCCCACAAAGGGGAGGGTATTATAGAAGATCATAGGATCACTGCAGGTCATCTTAGAATTCTGCCTGAGAGTCCCAGATATCCTCATAGCCTCCTCTCTCACCACCTTCTAGTCTTTGTTCAACTCTGGCATTCTCTCCTCTTTCCCTGTTATATTTTTCTCCAATGTACTTATCACTTTCTCATAGGATATGTGGTTTCCTTATTTCTCTTGTTTATTGGTTATCTCTCCACAGTAGAATGCAGGGATGGGAAGGGATTCTTGTATTTTTTTCACTGCTCTATCTCTGGGGCCAGTATTAGTGCTTGAACGTGGTAGGTGCTCAGTACATATTTGTTAAAAGAATGAGTGAATAAATGAGCTGACTGATATTTCATAAGCTACTAATCCTTCACAGGTTTTTTCTGGAACAATATTATTTCCCAAATATTCTGATACCACTGGATGCCTGAGATTGCAAGCAGTTAATCCAGATATTATGGATTCTGAGCTATGGATTTCATCTTTTCTCATGTGCCCCATCCAGTTGGTTGCCTGGTCTATCAATTTGTCTTATTCGTGACTATCCTATTTCCACTACTATTCCTCTAGATTAGACCTTTGTGTGTGTGTGTGTGTGTGTGTGTGTGTGTGTGTGTGTGTGTATGTATCTAGAATGTTATAACAGCTGCTTAACTAGCCAGGCTCTCTGCTCTAAACTTTTCTTTTTTTGCCAAAACCATTTGTATGATCACTAGATTAATCATTTGAAAGTGTCTTCTGATCATGTCAGTACTTTAACTGACTTTGTTATTATTTAATTGAGATGAAATTCGTTTAACATAAAATTAACCATTTTAAGTGTTCAGTTCACTGGCATTTTAGTACATTCACAATGTTATACAATCATCACTTCTATTTCTATGGTAGTCTTTTATTGCTTATAAAAAAGTATAAACATTTGCCTTGCTATCTTTCCAACTTTGTCTTTCCTACACCAATCTGCCAGTCTTGCTAGATTGTGTTTCTTTCAGAATGGCCGTTCTCCTCCCTACCTTTGCATCTTATAAGGTCCTAACATATGAAATATGAGCAGAACTACTTGTAGTGACTTCTCAGTTTTGGTGCCCATCCAATTTTTTTTTTAACGAATTCTGAGGTCATTTTTTCCCCCTATAATAATAACCATTCTCTGTTTTAAATGTATATAGCACTTGGCCAGGCATGGTGGCTCACTCCTATAGTCCCAGCAGATTGGGAGGTTGAGGTGAGATGATTGCCTGAGCCCATGGGCTCGAGACCAGCCTGGGCAACTTGGCAAGACCTCATCTCTACAATAAATCAAAAAATTAGCTGGGCGTGTCGGCATGTGCTTGTAGTTCCAGCTACTTGGAAGGCTGAGGTGGAAGGATCACCTGAGCCCAGCAGGTTGGGGCTGCGGTGGCCATGAGCATGCCACTGTACTCCAGCTAGGTGACGGAGTGAGACTCCAACTCAAAAAAAAAATGTATATAGTTCTTGATGTTTGTGCCACCAATTTAGCACTTAATCCATACTATTTTATACTGTTGTTTAGTAACATTTCTTATGTGTAGATCTGTTACCCTATCAAAGCTATAAAGTACTTGTACCAGTTAACCACTGCTGTTTTAAACCATGGCTTAAAATAGCTCTCATGTCTGGGGAGCCAGGGTTGGGTGATTTGGCTAAGTTCCACCAGGCTCTTTCAGATCTCTGAGTCACCAGGGAGCTCTACTCCAATTTGGGCTTGGCTGGAAGGGATTAGACAAGGCAGCACTGTTCTACAATGCTTATTCTTCTCCAGAGACCCGTAGGGCTAGCCAAGGCATGTCCTTCTCATGGTGATAGCAGCAGGGCAAAACCAGCAAGTAGAACCATGCAGGGTCTCTTGAGACCTAGGCTAGGAACTCACACACTATATTTCTGCTTCCATCTATTGACCGAAATGAACCACATGGCTGAACTCAGAATCAAGGGGTGGGGAAATATACTCTTCAGCTTAATGGGAGGAACTGCAAAGCTGCAGGGCAAGAGGGTATGGATATAGGAAGAGGGGAAGAATTGAGGTCTTTTGTGCAACTTATCACATTCTCAAGGGCAGATTCTTCTCTGCTTCCCAACAGTGCATAGCCCTGTGTTGTATACAGGTGTATAAGTTACCTGTTGCTTGTAATAAGCTATCCCAAAACAGTGGCTGAAAAAATCTGCCATTTTATTTGCTCACAACTTCTTGGGTTGGCCAGGCTGGGCTCAAATGGGGTGGCTCATCTCTGTTCTATGTGAGAGCAGCTGGGCTTGCTCATGTGGCTGCAATTTGAGCTGGAGGACCTAGAATTCACATGATTGATCCCTCAGCTGGGGTTGCTGGAACACTAGAGTCTCTCTTTCTACATTATCTTTCAGTTTCCAGGTCTCCTCTCTCTGTATAATCTCTCCAGCAGGGTATCTGGACTGTTTTTACATGACCAGCTCAGGGTTCCAAGAGAATGAAATCAGAAGACAAGGCCTCTTAAGGCAGAGACTCAAAAGCTGTACATCACTTCTGCTGCATTCTGTTGGTCAGAACAAATCACAGGGCTAGCCCAGATTCAGTGGGATGACACATAGACACCACCTTTTGCTGAGAGGTGTGGCAAATTTGCATTGTAAAAGGACATATGGGATAAAGATTGTTGCACCCATCTTTGGAAAGACAGTGCCACAGCAGTAAAGCAGTACTGTAAATAATTGGATGAGCATTTGAACAAATGAGAGAAGCAGAAGCAGAGTCTGCCAGCAAAAAAGCCAGTGTGGGATTCTGATGCAATAAAAGCAACAATGTCTTTGCATTCTAGTTATCTTCATATTTGCCTGAGAACAAATCAGAGGATGGATTTCCCTGGATCCGCTGGCATCAAACAGCAGACTTAGGCTATGTCCCCAGCCTAAAGATGCCCAACACTTTCATGGCTGTGACTATGGACCTCTGTGATAGGGACTCGCCTTTTGACAGGTATGGTTGCTTCTTGGGTTTTGCATGAACAGTGTGTGTTCCTTGTCTGTAGTCCTTCACTCTCATGTTCACTTGTGAGGGGGAAGATTAGATCAAGGATTGAAGCTAGGAAGCACTACATATATGCAGTTATGCTGGGATGTGCTGCAATAACAAAAATCCCTTAACATCTCGGTTCCTTGATGCAACAAAAATTTATTTCTTGCTCAACTCCATGTCCAAAAAAGGTCAGTGGAAACTTTCCTCACTGTAATCATTCACAGGCGCAGAGCAACAGAAGCTCAACATTGATCTGTGCTTCCACAGTTGCCTTAAAGTGTTATAGTAGTAATTTCTGCTCACGTCGCACTGGCCAAACCAAGTTATATGACCATGGCTAGCCTCAGGGAGAACAGGAAATGTAATTCTAGCAATGTATACCCCTTGCAAACTGTAAGTTATGAGGAGATGTCAAATATGAAATAGGGCCCAGTACTATCAGTTCATCAATAGGATGAACTGATAATATTCATTAAATAAACAAAGAAAAGCCGGAGGGGACCAAATAACGAACAGTTGATTCAGACGAAATATGAGTCTTAGTGGTTGGGAATAGTCTTATGAGTTAGTTCTTCTAGGTTAGTTCCAATGCCTTTTTTCCTTCTTCCCTCCCTCCCTCCTTCCATTCCTCCATTTATTCCTTCCTTCCAAGCCATCTATTGTTTCAAGGTTTCCAACCCATAGAAGGCCCAGTGCCCCATCTATGGTTACCATTCACTGTTTTTCTTAAGCTGCCTAGCCACTGATCACTGAGTGCAATCAAATTATTCTTACCTTCTTAAAGAGTGCTTTGTATCATTTCCTTTTTAAAAATATGTGGTTATTGTTGAGCACATACACAAAGTTCTCTACTTGTTCCTTATCCTGTAGCATCCACCCTCGAGATAAACAGACTGTGGCCTATCGGCTACACTTGGGGGCCCGTGCTGTGGCTTATGGTGAGAAGAATTTGGCCTTTCAAGGACCACTGCCTGGGAAGATAGAACTCTTGGCTCATAAGGGGTTGCTTAGCCTCACGTATTACCAGCAAATCCAGGTACAGAAGAAGGACAACAAGATATTTGAGGTGAGAAGAACAGCAGAAAAAATAGGGATCCATCTTGTGCTGGGAGTCAGGATTTCCTCAACAGTGAGGCCCATCTCTTTCATGATAACATTATGATGAGGTGGACCTCAGTTGGTGAGGGACTGAGCTTGTCTCAGAGGGACAAATAAACAGCTATTAATTCATGAGCTTAGAGGCAATTTTGATCGACAGTACTCGAGGAAGGGAAAACAAATCTGTGTTAAAATGATATTCTTTTTTTCTTTCCCAGAGCAACCATCTTTGCTCAGGGAAGGACCTGCAGCTTTATAGGTTACCTATTGAAAGTTCCTTTTTCCAGAATGTTTACCTCACCCTTGGGTGCTATTTTGTTACACTATCCTAAATTCTGACATTCTCTATTTAGTATCTCCTTTGAGAGGCTTAACCTTAGTGATTTGTAACTTAGTGTGAATTCATGCAATGAGATTACTTTCTTTTAATACCTAGCAGGGATCATTCTGCTATGGAACTGGGGCTATTGATTAAAGAGATTATTTAGGAGTCTTCTATAGTTGAAGGTGCGGGATGGAGACATTCCTAAATGGAACATTTAAATGAGAATCTGGGAATCGTGAGGCCTTAGACTGGGAAGGAGTATGTGAAAACAGGGCATTGACAAGGGAGGGATTGGCAGTTGCTGGGTACTGCCAGGTGAGGGTGAAAGGGAGGGAGGGAAGCACATAACAGCAAAAGGGGTACCTGATCCCAAACCAGGGGAAGTGAGGGCCAGCTGGAGGCCCAGACTTTACCTGCATGCAGCCTACTTGTATAGTTTTTACCTGTACCCCACATTGTTATAATAAAATAAAATAGAATAAAAGAGGGCATTGGAGGAGGTGAACAAATATTGAAGACAAACTTTAATTACACAGGAGTTTATCTAGGGCTGCTGCTTTCGAAATGCTAACTACATTATCCAACCTGCCTTAGATGATTGGTCAGCACTTATCCCACTTTCCTCGCTGGGTTTTAGGTGAATTTATAGATTCCCAAGAAGTCTCTGCATTCTGAATTCTCTTCATTAGTTGCTGGTGGTCTGCCCATCATGTGGTCCAGGATCATAGTTGGGGTTGGGAAAGAATTTGACCTTTGGGTTCTGGGTAATTTATGTTCCCTTTTCTGGACTGCCTTATGTCTTGTGAAAGGCTTCATAACTAAAGTCTGAAGCTCAAAGGAGCTTCAGAGAGTAGCAGCCACAGCTGGGCTGCTTTGCTATCTGGCAGGAGGGATCACTGAAGAATGTCAGGGAAGCCTTCCCTAAATGCCTCATGTGATCATGCTTTCTTGTCTCCTTCCGTTAATATCTTATTTATTGATTTAAATTATTTAATCACATGAACATTTATTATCAACCTGTGGTAGACCAGACACAACTTGGACTCAGGTTTGTTCTGGTTATTGTAGGAGAAGCCCCTTTTCTCCCATCTATTCTGTGAAAGAGTTCCCAGTTCTTAGAACACCTTTCCAACTGACCCGACTATTCCTGTTTTGTGGCTTTCTTATTAGATCTCATGTTGCAGTGACCATCAGTGCAAGTGGCTTCCAGCCCCCATGAACACCTCCTCCACCCAGAGCCTGACCTTGACGATCAGATCTTGTCATGGCACTGTGGTTGCTGTCCGCTATGCCTGGATCACATGGCCTTGTGAATATAAGACGTGTCCCCTGTACCACCCTAGCAGTGCCTTGCCAGCCCCTCCCTTCATTGCTTTCATAACAGACTGGGTTTCTGGACATCAGAGCAAGGTTGCCACCTAACAACTGCAGTGTGATTAGAACGTAAATGTAAGGGTAGGTCCTTTAGCTTTTGACATTTAGGAGTTTAAATGATGACAATTGTTGCTTTTAAGGAAAATTAACAGAAAACCTCATTGAATGACTTCCAGTTAGCACATGGCTGTTTCTGTATTCTGAGGTGAACCATAGCTGGTAGCCAACTTGAAATGCTTGCTTTTTGTCCTCTAGTTAGTCTAAGGATCTGTACTGAACTAATTGTGAACCACAGACAAATTGGACCTCAGTGTCATTCACTTCCCTCACATCAATGGGAGTGAAATGTTTTAACACCTTTGCCCCTTTTATCCAGAATTTTGGGATCTCAGGGTTGGAAGATTTTAAAGACCATGCAGTCAGGCTAGTGTTTGTGTTCTCTACAAAATCTCTGAGAAGTGGTTATTGAATCTCTGTATGAAGTTTCTATTCTACTTTCCAACAGTTTTTCCTTATGTGAAATTGAAATCTTTCTCCCATGAAACCATACTACTCTTACCTCTTCAAGCCCAAAACAATTCTGTTCCTTCAGTCTAAATCATGATAATATGCATGTTTAAAACAAACCAGAACCATGTGCAGGCATTTTGGGAGGTGCTAAGGAACTGCTTAAGGAATGAAAAGAAAGGGCCGGGTGGTGGTAGCCCAGGAAGGGCACTCAGGCTGCTAGTAACATGAGGGCTGGGAAACATAGGCTTAGGAAAACACGAATGTAGAAGTGACAGAGGCAACGGGTTGTTCGAGTTACATAAAAATCTCAGGATCTTTTAAAGGTAAAAGGTTTCACTAAGGATAATCCTTAGAGAAAAAAAGTGAGGCCGAATGCTAATGATAAGCATACAGAAAAAAATAAAGCATATAGAATAATACAGATGAGACAAATGTGAAAGAGGCTTGTTGTGTTTACTATTACAAATCTTTTTTTTCCCCCCACCTTTAAGCAGACAGGACTGTCCTCATTGTTTATTGGCGGGGCTTTTACAAAGGAAACTTGGGTTAGCATAGTGGTGCAGCTGCAGAGTGTTGTGCTTCCTCCTGGCAGTGTGCTGGGAGCCACCAATGGTGTGGTGGAACTTGTGGCCCTTCCCAAGGCCATGGCTCTGGCGCCTGGCCGATGTCAGCCCATACATCTCCTGGTGCTTGTGGACTGGCTTGGTGATCCACTGGGTGTCTGGATTTCTTCTGATAGCTTTATGGAATGGATCCATGAGGATAACCTCAAAAAATTTATATGTGGAATCTTCACCAACCCAGTAGGAATTCAGGACTCTTAAGAGCCCCACAGTGGTGTCCAGCTCGCTCCTTGGCCATGGACTGCAGGCTGCACGCTAACTTGAGCTGGTTGATGTTGTGGTGCACAGGCTTGTGCCCTTGGGAAAGTAGCATTTGCGGCCGCTTAGCGCATGTGGATCCTGTAGACGACATAACCTTGCTTGGCCTTATAGCCCAGGCTGCACGCCTTGTCCGGCTGCATGGGGCCTGGTGCAGCGCCGAGAGCTAGCGGTGCTGCTGGTAGTGCGCCTGCAGCAGGAAAGCACATGACATCCGACAGCTGCTTCCACCACAGCTCCTGGATGTACTTGTAGGCGTCCATTCTGGCTCAATGGTGATGGCTGCCACCAGACGGCACTATTACCAATCTTAATGCAGATTGATTGATTAAAAACAGCTAATGGCACTTTTAAATTGTTACCCATTACAAGTTGGAAATAAAAGCATAATCATTAGTGATGTGTATATGTTTATATCCTGTTAAAATGAACTTGTAAATTGTCCTTGAAGCATGGGAAAGGAATAAGAATGTTATCTATGGGTGGTCTTCATTTCCTTAATGTGAAAAACAAGAAGTAACAGGATAAGCTTTGCTCACTATACATACGTCCTCCAAACAGTAGGAAAAGCTTTGCCAGTACCAAGATTTTATTTAGTTAGAAAACAAAAAAACGATGCACTCTGCAAGGAATGTTGTTGTACAATTAACTTCTAATGCCCATACTTTGCCCTCTCATGCATCTAGTCCTATGGGAACCAGGAACCTAGTAAGACTTCCAGGAAAAAGTAAATCTACCTGTCCACTCCTCCACCCCAAATACACACATACCTACAGGCTGTTCTAATTGGGAGGCAACTAGAGGTAACCAAGAACTCCAAGCCCAAGCTCCTTTCATCCCAGTGTACATGGTGTAAAAATGTGCTTTAGGTAGTGGATATATTAATGAAGTCATATGTAAATTAATTTGTTTTTAGAAGTTGAATAATTTAAAACATTCTGTGGGAATTCACTGTATTCCCCAAATGAAAAGGACTTTTCACTGTTTGAAAATGGAATTTATAATCACTGTTGAAAATTTGGACACTAAAGAAAAGTATAAGCAAGTACAAATCACCCCCAAATTCATCATTCACCGCTTTGGTGAACATTTACTAGATTTGTTTGGGTTATATAATTTTATATACTATATAGTGTATTTTTAAATCTGTGCTTTTGACTCATTTTACAAAAATAATATTCCTATGTAAATAGAATTTAGAGTATTCAGTTTGTAGAAGCCCTATGTTTTAACTAATTTCCTGTTAATGGATATATAGGCTTTTGTAAAATTTCCATTATTAAGCAAATATTGTATTGAATATTACATGCAAACATACCACAGTTGTCCAACTATTTCTTGGGATCCTTAAGGTGGAATAACAGGTTAAAGGATATTTACAAATTTGATACTTACAGCCTAACCCTCTCAAAAGATTAAACCTCTTACATCCTCACCAAAGTAGACCTGTTTTTCACTCACCCTCACTGACAGCAGATGTTTTAAATTTTAAAAAATGTTTAACAGTCTGATAGAAGAAAAAATATTTTAAGTATACTAGGGCAGTGTTTTGCAACTTTTTAAAAACCATGATCAGTTGTAAAAACATTTTACATTATTTCATGTACCCCCATAAATGTGTATATTTATATACATACATATTTACATGCTATGGTTGAAATCAGTTTCAGCCTTTCTCCATGGATGCATTCTAACATATTCTAATTGTTTTATGTTTAAAGGATACAGGTCTCAACTTCCTAAATTTATGAACAACTAATGGGTTGAGATTTGTAGTATGAAAAACAGTTCTAGGAAACTTCACTAATTTGTTAAAAAACACTTAAATGTCCTTCTATAATGAGGCTCTCTTTTAAGATGTTTTCCTCAGGCTGTGAAAGAATGAAAACATATTTGTTACATGATAAAAGCAACATATAGCATTTTTATAAGCTAATTTGTGCTCAAGCAACTTATGCAAAGAAAAAAGATAAAACACTACAACACGAACAAACACAAACAGCTTTGAGTAATCCTCTTCCTACCTGATTTGCTATTATCCAAATTTTATTAGTTTCTTTTACATTGTAAAGTTATGCAACTTATAAAAAGACTCTACTTAGAATCATAAAATTAATACCAGTTAAGTTAGCTTGAGTTTATACCTAACTTGGTTTATAGTTTGTAGTATGTTCCAAACACTGCCCTCTTCGATTTCCTCCTTCTGCTGTTTAATTACTGTAATATGTTAATCCCATTTGTGTTGTCTTCAGTTGGCAGTTACGAAGGGTAGCACATTATTCAATTCTCACCATTCCTTTCTCACACTTCTACCTCTGGTCCTTTTCATGTCGTCTCTTTTCAGCCAGCCCTGGGTACCTGGTGATGGGTAGCTAAGGCATCCCATAAGGTCGTGTGGAGTTGTACTGACTGAGATTAGGGATACAGTAAACCTCCAACTTAATGCTATAGACAGGGCCCAAAAATTCAGTTGCATAGAACATGGAGTTATGTTATTACATGGTTAATGAAAGAATAGGAATGATTCTGTTATAGAGGATGGGAACTAATCCTCAATTATGTTATATCTAAATTTGTGTTATCATATGGTTGCAACATATTGACCTAAAGGCACATTCTCCAATAGGGAACTTATGGGCGACAGAAAGGGTTAAAGAGTAATTTTTGATCCCCTTAAGGGATGTGCAAAATGTGAAGAACAAGAGCAGTGTACCTTAGACTGTACTTTCCAGTTTGAGTGTAAACAGAAGATTTGATTTTGATGACACTGATAAATGAAATAAAGCAGCAGCCTGGGTTGTAGTGGTGGGACTTGATATTCCTTGAACTGGGATCAGAATAAATAGATGTTTGTCAGTCTTACTATCTCTCTGAGTCAACTGCTGCTATATATGTAATATTTGTGTCCCCTCAAAATTTATAAGTTAAATCCTAACCCCCAGTGTGATATTAGGTGAGACCTTTGGGAGGTGATTAGGTTATGAGGGCAAAGCACTCATGAATGGGATTAGTGCTTTTATTAAAAGGGACCCACAGAGTTCCCTTGCTCCTTCTACCACGTGAGGACACAGTGAGAAGGTGGCTGTCTATGAATTAGGAAGTAGACTCTCACCAGATACTGAATCTGCTGGCACTTGGACTTTCCAGCTTCCAGAACTGTGAGAAATAAATTCATGTTTTTATAAGCCATCCAGTCTATGGCATTTTGTTATTGCAGTCTGAATGGACTAAGACAGCAGCTTTCTCCTACTCTGGTTTATAGATTTACCTCAGGCAGAGTTAGCAAAAAAAAAAAAAAGAAAAAAAAGGATAATATCCTGATTATAAGATAAAAATAAGCAGAACTGTCAAGAGAGATTTATTACTAAAAATAAAGCAACTGAAGTTTTTCCCAAGGTAAACTGTCACCACGGGAACCTCCACAACAAAATATGTTAATTTAATATCTTCTTTACTCCTGAATTGCTGCGTTCTTCCATATATTCTAAGTTTTAGTTTAAGTTTAATTCATCATGATGAAAATCATATGGTATCTGATCCCTTGTTCAATCTGAAGATTGAATTGGGCTACACTGTGACGGAGACTTCAAGTGCTGCAGGTGAGTATCTGCCAAGGGTTCATGTGTCAGGAACACAGGTTGGTAAGAAGATACAAAGGCTGCAGGCTGAAACTCCGGGAGGTCCAGGGATCCTGGAGAAAACAATTTCTTAAGTTCCACAGCTACCTGGAAATCTCAGGATACTGTTTTGGTTAGGCACATATATGTCCTTTCAATCAATTCCTAAATACCCTTGCATCTGTCAGCCCAATTTTACCTTTGGTAACAGGACAGATATTTACTTTTACAATGAAGAAAACTGTGGTTCAAATAGATCAAGTGACTTATGTGGGGTTAAATAGTATGTTAGGGAAAGAGTGAGAATTTTAATTCCATTTTCTTATTTCTATCCCAATTTTCCTTAAGTGACCCCAAAGCTTGAATCCCTGATCTCTCCACCCATTTGTGGGAAGGAATATATGGAACACAGGCAGGCCAAGGCCACGACCTGACCCCTTTGACTGTGTGTGAAATTGTGTTTCCTGCACAGTTAAAACTCCCCTGGTGTTCTGCTCAGGTCTTACTTAGGTTAGAGTATGAGACACTTTAGTTTCTTGGGGTGCCCTGCCTTACTATCATCACAGGTGCTCGTGTGACTTCTGTGAGTAATCTGGGAAGCTAATATGCTGTAGGCCCCACTCTGACTCCTCACTCTATATAGCTAATCAGTGAGAACTTTTATCATTCATTGTCCAGATATTTGGGACACTCCACTATGTGTGAAAAGGGGAACATAGCCTAAAAATGGTCAACTTTCAAACCAGAAAGGTAAAGTTAAAAGATACCTGGCAGAATGGGGTCATTATGATCTTCATCAAAAGTCTGTCTCTGAAAGGCTTCAAAGCTCATAGCTGCATCATTCTCTGG